CCTTCCAGCTCAAGTTAATCATTGCGGTCATCACTGCCACCTTTGCGACGCAAGAGAACAGCCACGCTTGGGCGTCGGTTGCGTCTCTTATGTTAGTGACAGGGGCTTTCGCATTGAAATTTATTTCGTGCTAATTTCTTTGTTTAGCTGCCTCCTATTTTGGATCACCATCGCCATCGGGCTCTTTCTCTATCGCCAGCCATTCTTGCTCAGGTATCGGCTTTCCGTTCCTCGAAATGGTCGTGTCAAATTCCTAACTCGTTTGACACAGGAAGGCAATCCCCAGCACAGTCGCAGTCGTAGGGCCTACTCTTTTTTGGGGTGCCATAGTCTACACCGGAAACTTCGACCTCGGCCGCGCCTTCCATTTCCTTCCAATCATCATTGAATTCGGCCTGGTTTCTTTCGTCGTGTCCTACCAGGACGAGCTCTCAGAACGACCTACCCAAGATGCAGAGCATGCCAGTGGACATCAACTGCCTCTTCATCGCTGCTCAGCGAGAGAAGGACGGCATGTGCCGTCATGAGGTCGATAAAGGGTGCACTGAGCCAACCCTGACTGGTAGCCGTATCACTATGGAGCAAGGCCATTCGCAAAGTTTCAAAAGAGACGACGAAGAGATTCCGCTACCTCCAGAATGTAGCCGTCACCCAACCGATGAACGATCCATTCGTTTCTCGAATTACTACGCCACCGGCTACCAGCAAGCCTTGATCATATGCTCACATTCATCTATCTAGCGTACTCGATGATGGCTCTGTTGTACGAGACGGTTCCTACATTTGAGCATTCCTGGATTGAATGCCTAGGAGACCTAGGCCGTTATCGGTAGGGAAAATTCGTTAATTACCTGTTGTTGATGATTATACTAAGTTGGATATAGTATGGCAATCGAAGACGATGACATAAAAGATCGAGAGGTCTGGACATCTATCAGTCGGCACTGGTACTCCAAGGCCAGTGACAAGGCACCTACTACTGGGCGGCTTTATCATCACTTAGCCATCTTAGCGCGCCCAAACGCATTACAGCAGTTGTTCTACTACACGAAGTCTCTTTGCGTCCCAATCCCATTCTTATCTGCCCGTGAGTCAATTCTGGCTCTATTTGAGCCTCAAACTCACGGGGAGCTCAACCGCTTAGCAGAGATCGATGCCGCATTTGTTCGGGCCCATGGAATCTTGTTCAGTGGCCGCTCCGATCGCGAGAGCATGACCAAAACAACGCCCTCAACGAACGAGTTCATCGCAAGCCTGGACAATCACTGCCGTCGAACCACGCGTCAGTGGATTGAAAGCAGCCATTCCAACAGCATTAGTCTTCGCTTACATCATGGAGCCGAATCCAGAGTTCTTGTGGGAGCTGGGGGGATTGACACACGATGTCCCAGCCGAAAACCCCTCGATTACTCTCGTGAAAATCATCATATTGGCTCCATACATACGCCCTTAGCCAGTCTTCTCAGTCATGGTTTCCACGCCTCGACTTTGGAGGGCAGCTTTCCCCCATGGCTAGAGTTATTTGACTTCGCCTTACATCCCACTGGAGCTTGGAGCCGAATCGCATCACCCGAGGTCCCTGAGGGGCTCGATTTGCGGAGTTCTGCTTGGAAAAAGCAGCATTTCCTCGTTGGGAAAAGTATCTTACCAAGGAGTTTCCAAGGAGACCCAATTGCTCTAATCTCAAAGTTCACAGACCAAGCCAAACGTCTGTGGATGGTCTTGGGTATGAAACACCGAGAGTCATCTTCCTGGCTGTCACGGAGTTGTTCCAGCTTATGGTTCGATTTTCCAGCCGTCTATGACAAGGAGCCAAACAAACCGCCGTCCACTAAGAGCTTAACAGGCTCTTCACGCTTTGGTACCAGAGAAACATCTCCGGCCTCTGAAAAGCAGCGATCGCAAAGCATGAAAAATCATGGGGATATGCTGATTCCTCTCTCACTGTCCCGACGGTGCGTTGAGCGTGAGGTTTTCTACAAGCTTTGTCGATTTTTGCCAAAGATATCGATTTCTTCAGCCGAAGTGCTGTTTGACTCCAGTCATGGGACTGCTCCTCGGCTCTTCTGAGCAATCAGCATTCCATCATACCTAGACACCGGGAAAGCCGCCGGTCCCTCTCCTTTCCTTCTGACACTGTCAACATCATTGGAGCGAGGAATGTTCTTTGGTATTTACACTGGGGAAGGATACTTAGCGACATCGGAGTGCATTCGCCAGAGAAGGCGCAATATGTGAGAATGCCTGTACTAAGCTTTCTCATCCACAGCGGTATGCTCAGCGCTGAAACAGATGGGCATGAGACAAAATCTTCTCAGAACCCTCGTGGAAGGTCATGGGGGACACTGCAGCAACTTGGCTGGGATGCTATCAAAGCTGTCGAAGTCGTACGTTGCTCGGCTAAGTTATTCCCTGATGTCCATGGCTGCTATCTACAGATAAAGCAGCGCATGTATCAATTCAAAGTTCTTTCCTGTTTCAATTAAAGTGCTCTTGAGTGCTTGGTTATCTAATTTTAAGGTGAAGTCCTGTCGAAGTTCGTTGCTTTACCAATGAAACAATTGCTAACGATAAGAAATACATATCTGTTTGTTTTACGTCTAGCTACGATTGTAACATCGATATGAAATATGCTGATGGGTATATGTGGCCATAAAATCAATGACATGGGGAAAACGCCGGCTACTTATACACGCGCCCATCCTCTACATCACTCGTTCCCGCTTGCTCTCTCGAACTATCTTCACATATACCCTGGTTCTAGAGCGCTGATTTCACAGACTCTTGTACTCGTCCTTGATTTGGTTGACAATGTACCTCAAGGCTCTCAGATTCGGCTGCGTTCTCATCAGCAGAGCCATCTTCAATGGCTCCGTGACGTCTGTTCGAAATTCCCTGTCCAGGCGTAGTAGAGCCGTCCGTGTGAGGACATTCGGCAAACGGTGAGTCCCTCGTCTGAGATGGCTTTCCATTCTCCCCATCGCTTCATCTAGACGGCCGGCTTCGTGATCGAATGCGTTCCTCTCATCACGACCCCTCGGCTTGTTCCTCTTTTGCACTTGGTACAATATTTGACGGGCTTTTCTGACGCTGAAAGGATCATCGCTTCGGCACAATTGGCTGTGTCTGATGGCTTGACGCGGGATTGTCCTTGAAGATCTTCGCCTGCCCGATCTCGAATCTCCCAAGCGGACGGTACAGGCGTGAGACGTGGCCCCGGAATGGGATGTCGTGGCTCATAGATGACTGGCGCCGGAGATTCCTGCCATTGACGCTCTGGTGGTTGAACTTGGACGACAAATGGTTCTAAACTGCGGCGTCTTTGGATGTATCGCCGTCTTCTGGCTGATTCTTCGGGTCGATCATATCTTGCTGGGATGTAAATGATTCGAGGGTACAGAGCGTACTCATCGTCGTCCTTCTCTTTATCGCCACGGAAGCAGGACAGCATGTGAAGGACGGCTGGACAGATAGTAGATATAAACCTTTCTCCGAGATAGTGTTTGGTGGTGTCGATCTTTATTCTGTCTTGAGAACTTGGCGCTGTCTTATATACGTGATGGTTCGTTCAAAGAGAGATCTAACGATGACAACCTAAATCCAGAATTTTACGAACAAGCTCCGTTTAGATTGAGTCCGGCGAGGCATTCACGTTGTATCGTGACACTAGAGTAAATCCAATTGCCATGCTGAGGCTGAGCTTTGAGGCTATTTTAGACTGAACGCCGCCGTTGGTGGCGCTGGCTCATGTGAGGACTTGACCACGCTGGCATTGCCCTAGCTTGAGGATGAGCGGCCTCACTAGTAATATTTTGTTTTGCGTTTGGATGCAAGAAAGGGATAGCATTCCTATGATGAATGGGCTGCAATCCGGAATACATGTCGGGAGGGGAACCATCCGACTTCAATATGTGTGTGCAGGGCTGATTGAGCGTTCTGGAGTGCTTCAAGTCATTTCACCCGCTACCTCCAAGATCTTGCAATCATCGGAGTCTTCCTCAGAAGCTTTAGCGGCAAGCTTTCGAACCACATCGTCGCCGTCTTCCAGTATAGCCTTTACGGCAGCGATTATATATCGACAGTCTGGCAAAACTTTGTCCAAAAGGGCTGTTTTCAGCGGTTCCGTCACATCTAAACGAAAATCGCGGTCCAGACGGAGAAATATGGCTCGAGCCTGATCTGTAGATCAATTAGATCTTTATGCGGTGAGTTCTTCTCCTCTGGCGCAACTTACTTCGATCTCTTCTCAACACAGCCCTGTCCATACCAATGAGCTTTCGTTTTAAATCTTTCAATGCCTGTCGCAAGTTTTCAAGCTCGGTAGCGTTCTCCTTATCACAACGCTTATGGGTTTTCTGGATCTCGGCCAGAATCAGAAGGGCTTTATCCACGCTCGAGCCAGCAGCATCGACACACTGGATGTCGGTCAAAGGCCTGTTCATCGAACGCGGAATTGTCCATTCCTGAGGTTGGTTACTTTCTGGGTCTGGGCTTCTTTGTGGCACTTGGTTTTGGCGACGGAAACGGAGAAATCGGTTATACATTGCGTCCATTGAAGAATTATTCGTTCGGTAGAGGTAAGAATGATGGAGATTGAACCAGCATGGACATTCTCAAGTCGGCTTTGTCAATCGTTTTGTATTCATACCTACCCTGAAAGTCTTTTGGAAGGAATCCTTCTTTAGAGAAACTGCCGAGAAACATCCAACATTCCTTCGAGCATAACCTTAAGTTGTTTGTGGAAGAGATGGCTGCGGCTGAGTCTACTAACGGTTCTAGGCCTTGTCGGCGCTTCGTGGCTACCGCCACGTGTGGTGATCGGCGACTATCAAACCCGCGAAAGACATCGAACGGAAACAACCCAAACAAATGACTTGGTTAAGTCGCTTATCATACCTTAATGTGCTCATCCCCGTCGTTCTTCTTGTAAGCAGAGACTCTATTCTCTGAATGACCTTTTTGCTTTCACCAGGTAAAACAGCATTTGTATAACAGGAAAAATGCTAGGCTTTGAGAGCGGCAATGTCTTTCGAAAGCGGAATCCGGATAGGATTCGGGATGACATGGACTATGCTGAGCGCGTTTTCCGTTACTCATGGCATTCAGGAAACGACGAACCACATATCCTGGAGTACCGAATACTCAACAGAATCAACCTTTTCCACCTCCAGAATGAGCTCGCCAAGCTCAAATCCGCCGTCTGGGCCGATTTTAGTGCTAAAGAAGACGATTTAGCAAGGTTAAGGACAACGCTGCACGATTATGGTAAGTTAAGCCATGTCAGTCACGAAAGTCGACATGTGCCGCGTGAAAAGTCATCTCTATGTCGAAAGTCTGACTGAGAAAATTCCCAAATAGCAAATGCCGTACGTGATTACGAATACCTCAGAGCTCTCCCAGAAATCACAGGCTCCCAAGCAGAAGACCGACGCCGCGATCTGACAGCCGCGTTCCCCTTCATCGCCGACCTCCCCGGCGACCCGTATAATTCGCGATACTGCACCTTCCGCGCCCCCTCACACCCAGAAGCCCCCGTCGACCCTCTCAGGCGCTTCCTCAAAGCACGGCTTCCGAGGCAGTGGACATACACGAAAGACGAGATGCGGGTCCACATAGACGAGTACCTCAAGAACGACCCGCCAGAAACGGTCTCGCCGTTGGTCGACAAGCTGGCCAGGTTCATCATCTCCTTCACCGGTGGGGTGAGCCTTATAGTTCCAATGCTCATCATGAGTCTCCCGGGGCAAGATACGACGAAGAGCCTCGTTGTCACGTCGGTCGCCGTCACCATCTTTTCGGTTGTGATGGGCTTGGTCTTCAAGGTGTCGAATGAGGAGACCGTAGTGGCTACGGCTACGTACGCGGCGGTGCTGGTTGTGTTCGTCGGTACTAGTTCTTAATGATGGCCTTTCAACTGAACACTAGTACGCTTTCACGTCGTGTTGGGCCTCAAGAATCAAACGTTGACGGTGTGTTCATAGCTTCATTTCATTTCATTCTTCACTAGATCGTCTAAAACTCGGCAGAAACAGCAATGAATCCAGTCGCCTTGCCCTCAGCAGCCTGCTTCATGAGCTCCTGGTAGACGGGGTCCTTTGTCTGGTAGTACTCCATATCCCTATTCACGCGTTAGCTTCCCCATGAACCTCTAGATCGCCATCTCATCAGGGGCCGAACTCACGCCTCATTCGCAAAGGTGATCTCGTACACGACGCTCCACGGCTGAGATCCCGGGACGTCGGTGAGCGTTTTGCACTTGCTCGCCTTGGAGGAGAGGATGTAGGTGTTGCCGTCCTGTCATTCATGTCTTAGTATTTGCTAGCTCCGATTACCCGGGGCCTTGGTACATACCTTCTTGCACTCGCTCGAGAAGTTGCCGAAGCGAGCGACGGCCTCCTCCTGCTTGACGTCGTCGGAGAGGGCAATAAGTCCGATTCTGGTGATGGCCATTTTGATGAATTTGAAATTCTTTCGTGCCTGACGAGTAGTAGTATTTAAATCAACAAGTATCGTGATGTGATTTTCAGGTAATTCACACTCTTCATTCTTCATCAAAACTCGACCGCTTAATATACACAGCAAGGCACACCGCGGACCTCGGCCGCGGTGACGACCCCCGCACTAGGAAATTCATGCCGTCCTCTCGGCGCGCCACGACAGTCTCACCATCACGAGGCTACCAGCCAGAGAGCGGCCACAGAACCCCCAAAAATGCGGAGCAACGACCCCGTTCCGCACCAATTCTCCGATGCCAGATACCTCTCTCCTCCCCTGCAGGGCAGCAACATGAACCACGTCCAGACGACGAAAAAAAACGGCGGCCATCCACAAATCGGAACGATCGTCCCTGAAACATGCCCCGATGCGGATCTCCGAGCCAGACCGCTCCCAGATAAAGCTGGCTCTTGGCGCGCGCGGGTCTGGACGGTGGCACGCTGGCTTTCTCAACGTTGAGCTACCTTTAGACTTCACCGCCCATCGGAGCCGAATCCACAGATCGTCAGGCAGACAAGAAAGACTCATTTCTCAATACAGAAAGCTTCGCTGCCAATCTGGTGAACCCTGCCGAGGTAAAAAGAAACCACCCCCACACGGCGGACAATCGGGAGGACCGCGTCCTGATGTCGAAGTGCGCAAGATTGGAGGGCGATCGAAAAAGGGCTCGGCGTTCAGGGGGATGCGTGGCCATGTCGTGGAACGGCATTGCGAAGTCTGGGGGTCGTGTCTGCTGTCTTTTTTCTGGGACCGGAGGACGGAGGTTTTACCGGTTCGGGCATGTTCGCTGGTGTGGGGGTCGTGCCGGGCAGATCCCGGCTTCCCGCAGAGGCGGAGGAGACGGGGGACACTGGGGGTCTGTGCTGGTGTAAGGTTCCGGGGCGCCGATGACAGCTGTCCGTCTGCGGCGCGGTTCGGTGATGGGTGACGTGTGAACTTGCAACGGTCTTATTGATGCGGCTCTTTGCCAAATGGAATTCGCAACAACAATTGCAACGGATCGAGAGGATAGTACGTTAAATGTGATCATTCATTCTAGACAGTATGCTAAACTTTTGAGTAGCCACCCAAATAAGACATAAAGGTCGTTATATCATACAAGCCCTTCCCTCTAGACATGTTCTCGTGTATGCAATGTCCCATTATCCCTAGTGATCCACCAAGCCTCCGGACCATCAATCCGGTCGATCAAAAAAGTGTATACGCCTCGCGGTATATCAATATGGTTTAGAAGTTAGAGATTAAGAACGATAAGAAGGCTGGTTTCCAGCAGCCGGGAGCATCCATCGAAAAGACATTTGTCGCTCCGAGAACGCCTCGCCATAAGATGCAGTGGCATGAATCAATACTCGCTGATGAAGCAATTTGTGAAGCAACGAACATGATAAGGAAAGGAAGACGAGGAACAAAAATCAAACACGGCCATACTCTTTACTGACTTCCCCTGCGTCGCCTCTGGTCTCCTCTGTAGTTCAAGGGGTACGGAGCCGGGCGTTCCTGGCGCATGGTACGCCTTTCCGGAAGACCGGACCTCACGTCAGGGTAGTATCCCGGCTGGGGCCCAGCGCTGTTGGGCGGATAGACCGGAGAACGGGGAGCATACCCCGCCTGAGAGATTTCGGCTGCGCTCGTAGGGTACATGCAGTCTTGCTGCGCGGGCCGCAGGCAGAAAGGGTTCTCCTGCTGGGTGGTGTAGTGCTGGGGAGGCATGCCAGAGATGGCCTGCATGGGGCGCATCATCTCTGCAGAGGTAGGCGGAGTGTAAGTTGGGATCGGTCGAGACTGCATTGCGTAGTCTGACAGAGGGATTGATTGCTGAACTGGGGTGGGCAGGGGCTGTTGGAAGAAACCGTGAGGAGCCTCAGCCGGAGCAGGGTGGCTAGTAACCGGTGAGTTCATGTGAGATGAAGGGCGGCTGTAGGCTGCACTTGGATAGAAGTCTGAGGTGGCAACGCGGTTCTCTTGGCGAACTCGACTGTGACCATTGGCCATGTCGCGGAAGAGGCGCGAATGGTCTCGGTTCTGAGCCAAAGCCGAAGAGCGGTCGGGAGGTGGCGTAGCCTGTCCATCGACCCAGCGACACGAATCGTCATCGCTGGCGCCCATCTGAGAAGAAACAGAGGCGGGGGCGGATGGAATACGGCCGGCTGCGGCGACGGGCGCATTCTTGTTCTCCAGACGAGATTTATCACCAGTCTTGGAGTTGGCCTCCGCGGAGGCCTGCGCGCGCTTGACTACCTCAGGATGAACCCCTTCCACGTATTCGATAAACTCTTTGAGGGCCTGAACCTTCTGGTTCAACTGCTTGATGCCCTCTTCAGGAGTGGCGGGGGGCTCAGAGGCTTCGGGCAGAAGGTTTTGCATGGCTGCGGCAATCTGGTCAGACAGAGCCTGCAACCTCCTTTCTGTGCCCTGGAACGGAATGCCAGAGATCGGCTGGAGAAGGCCGAGCGTCTGGGAAGATTCTTCAGCGGCACGACGCGCGGCCTGGAGGGTCTCGTGGGCGTTGCGAGCGTGGTCATCATTGACTTGCTGAAGCTGCTCACAGTGTCTCTCAAGAGCAGCAAGGTGATTTTGCGTGCTTTGACGGAACGAGTTGACCATGGCAGTGGGTGTAAACGTTTGTGCGGGTTGAGGCTTTGCTCGACGGATGACGGGAGTTCCGCGAGCGCTCGATGAACGTGATTCGTCAGGGAGCGGACTACGCCTGGGTTGCTGACTGTGCGAGGTTGACGGCAAGCTGCCTTCATGAACCGGGCTGTAGTTGGAGGGCAATGCGTAGGGAGGGCGAGGCTCATGGCGGTTGCTCTGAATGACGTGGACCTCTTGTGGCATAGAAAACGGAACTGGAGCGGGAGCAGGAACGGGGAGCCTGTTGGTTTGCTCTGCGTAACGGGACTGCATCTGGAAACCCTGGCCAGGATGAGGAGCAGCGGCTTGAGGCAGTTGCTGTGGCTGGGCATATTCTGCGCGTTGCCCGTGCATAGTAGGCGTCTCCAAATGCTCGTGCTGTCCCATGTTCTGACCGTGAGCCCTGTTGGGGTCTTCCATCACCCGATACTGATCGTAGTATTCCGAGTGCACTTCTTGCCTCGGTGGGAGCTGTTGCTGACGCTGTGGTGCAGGCATATGCGGTTGTCGCACATCTGCCAACTGCTGCTGCGGCATCTGCAAAGTGTTCCAGGCTTGGTCCTGACCTGCCTGCATCCCTGGAGCAGCCCACATGTGATTTTGCGTGGTGTTATCTGGGCGCTGCTGTTCTGGGTGTGTACCAACGTAGTTGTCGCCCTCGTTCTGTTGCATGAACACAAAGTTGACTTGCAGATCACCTTCTGTGTTCATTCCGTTCAGCTGGAACCCTTCACTGCAAAAGTCGAGCGTGGCAGGACAGCCAGCATCAAGGTTGAAACTGCCGTCAACATCGAATGCAGGCTCATCGTCTGACCCCAGATCTGACCAAGAAGCACTGCCGCATGGTTGGCGATGTGTTGGGGCGTCTGTCGATATACGAGTGTTCTGCTTTGTGGCAAAGAAAGCAGAACGGGTAAACAGCGGCTTTGGTGACGTCTGCTGATGTCTGGTTAGCACGGCTGTTGAATTTGAGCCGTTGTTGAACATGGACACACTCTTACCTTATGTGTAGCAGTAGACTTGTAAACGGGTGATTCGGGGTCGCGAATCTCGATGGCAGAATCTCGCCGGCCTTGATGGCGGTAAAAGTGCATGACAGGAACGTCATCGCCAGACTCGGAAGGACTCCTCGAGGACGCGCAAGACGAAGAAGGCGTCAACGCGGGCTGCTGTATCGCATCGACTGACAAAGCATCCCACTGGACCGTAAATGTTGAGACTCTGTCGGTAGTGTCGAGGACAGCTCGTGAAGGATTGCCCTCAAAGATGATCTCGCGTGCGACATACACAGAAGAACCAAGAAGGCTCACAATTCCGCGGTTACCCAAGCGGCGTTGGGCGTCCCCCGGCTGCCTGAAGTCCAAGCTAGGACCGTACATGGTGATCAGGAAGGTGGCGCCGGATCGCTGTTCGGTATGTGTGGGAACCCAGCAGACAGACTTGAGAAGCACAAGCATGTACTGGTTGTTTCGCAGGTTGAGAACGTGGACAGAGTCCTTCAGGTCTTCGTTCGATCCGTTGTCAATGATCGCCACAGAATCCCCGCGTTGATATTCTTGGCCGTCGAGAGATCTGCCGTCGTGCACCAACGTGCCGTGGGATAGCTGCATATTGACGTTCATGGGTTCACAACCCATAACAGGGAGGGTGGCTGGCTGCATTGCCATGTCGGCGTATTGTTCGAACCCACCGCGGGAGGGAGCGTATCGTTTGGTAAAGAAGGACTGATAAGAAAGATGGGATGGCCAGCAGGCACAGGAACTACCAAGGAGAATGTTCCGGGTTGTGGCGCATAACTTGATGGTAAGCGATGTCGAGACTTGCGTGGATGCAGGGCTTCAGGAGAATATCCAAAGTCTAATGCGTGGAGACAACGTGTAAACGTTGAGGCAAAGAACTGGTGGTTGACAAAACATGAGAGGAGGGTAGCACAAGAACCAGACGAGGAGGCGAGGAATTTTATAAGATGGATCGAAACTAGAGAGAACCGTGAGCGAAGAGCGTCTAGGGCATCCATGGGAACTAGATGCGCCTTGGCATCTCGGGACCGATACCCACGACATGGGTCATAGAAAGTAGCTGCAGCGGAAGACTCGAAGTGCTTCCGTCTGTATGAACTCGTGTGCGATACCCTTGTCGACACCCTCAGTTCTTGCGGACGTATGAACAGTGGACATGGGGGTGGGAGTTGAAAACCAGGATGCGCTAAAGGGCGATCTTCCAGGTACCTAGGGCCGTAAGGTACCACCCCTGAACAGCAGCAGAACAGGGGAGATGACGACGGGGCAAGCCGGGAGGGCCAGGTTGTTGCAAGGCCATGGCTGTCTCGGACCCTTTCTCCACCCCCAAAGAAGACTCGTATTGTCTACTTGCTGTGAAGTGTGCATGTGTGTGCTGGGAATGAGTATGTGGGCGAAGTTGGGTCGACTTAGCACACTGTTGCTGTACCCAGCCCCAAGGCTCGGGATACAGATCTCAGCCATCTCGTACAATCAGTCACTTCTCAAGTTGTTGGCCTCCTGATCCACGATTGACGGTGGACATAAGCAAGAGCTCCAAGTCAAACGTCTCGGGAAAGAAAGGGCGTCATCTGCGTCAACCGCTGGACTTATTTGACGCCATTGACGCCGAGCAGCCTTAGGAAAGTCTTTGCCGCGGCAGAGTAGCCGGGCGAAGTATGGCAGGTTCGGTGCATATTCGTACACTGGATAGACAGACAGAGAGTCGTTTGAAAAGCAATGAGCACGAACAACGAAAGAAAAATTCTGAGAAGTGATAGGGCGAAACATGCCATTGGTTATCGAACACGCCGGACCGCTATTCTGCCCGCGCGGGCGTGGAGTAGCCGAACGCCTGCGAGACCTCGTCGGCCACTAGTTGGTCGACGGGGACCCCGCCGAGGGGGAACATGAGCCTACTGGCTACTTTCTGATGAACTTATCGAGCATGAGCATGCGCCGACCCGCAAATCGGGTTCCCGAGGCAGATGTAAGACAGAATAATGATCGTCGTATGACGCCAGGTATCCCGCGATGCAGAACCGGTGCACGGTATTCTCTGCCTCGGTGGCCTCGGCAGAGGCAGAGGCTGAGGCAGGGCGACAGGGACCCTCATCGCCGCCACAGACTGAAACCGATTCCAAAGGAGCCAATTTTGGTGGCTTCATCCTCTTGATACCAAGCCACTCCGGTCTCGCTCTGCATAGAGACTAATGACCTCCTCTGGCAACGAAGGGTGATGATAGACTCGGGCGTGGTGATACCATTTGAATCGGACCGTACTGAGATTTGTCTTAAAGAGCGGAATACGCCATTTTCATTTTGTACATCGCGTCAAGGACGATCTGACGTCGCCTATTCCGAGGCTTGGCCAAGATCCGTCGCGTCCGCGAGAGGGGGGTATCTTGAGTCTAGGTAGATGTTGGGTTGCCACCTCATCGTCCCTCCTTGCCTGGCTTGGAGTCAGACTCGTTCTTGTTTGCTGCTTCATCCTGGGGCGTCTTTCCAAGTTTGGTGAGAACTCTAGCGGCCCATTCTTCAAATTCTCTCTCGGCAGCTTCGTCTGTCTGGCCAGCGGCTCCATGGATACTCCTACGAGCCATCGCCCTCAAGTCCTCCACAGAACTAATGTCGAACGCCCAGGCGGCACCTCCAGCCATCATCATGCCGAAGCTGACGACGTTAAGAGTCGCCAGGTTCAGCGCCTCCAGGGCGATCAAGGAGCCCTCGGGGTTGCCCTGCTTGCCTGCCGCAGCATGGCTCGGCGAGTAGAACTTGGGGTAGGCGGCCATTGTCTTCCTTGCAACGGCTCGTCGCGTGATCACAGACGAAAACAACAGGAAGCTGGCGCCAGCAAAGAACAGGCCCAGTTGTTTCGCGGCTCTCGAGGAGAAAGCGGAGGATGTTGGCTGAGCTTGTGGCCTCGTGAGGCGAGAGCCCGGCGACTTGTTGTCGGCGGGAGCCATGGCTGATGAGTGTTGCGCAAGCATCGAATCTTGAGCCTTGATTGCCTCAGCAGTTAGAGACACCATCCACAGTGGGTGATCGGGAGGGGGCTTACCAAGCCAAGGGCGGTGTTTCCCGACTCAATTGACCACAGGCTGTTTGCTGAAGTACTTGTGCTGGAGGTGTTCGTGTGGACTGGACGGGTGGCTCACAGCTCAGGTGCTGCGCAAAGTGAAGCAAGGTCAGGCAAAGGAAAGCGGAGCTAGCTTTGGCGCGGGTGCTTCGACAGTGGGAAGCTCTTCCGCTCTGGAGTCGGGGAAAGGAAGTTCCCGCCCCTAAAATTAGCCGACCCCATCATCTTGAGCGTTATATGCAATAACGGAAACGGGTTATGCATCAACTGAGTCCACGGAGGAGACTCCGCTCCACTTCTCGCGACAGGGATCGTCAGATCTTTCCCGTCCAAAACATTGAGGAAAGGAACGTGCTGTACCTTATTCTCCGCCTTACCCGCCGTCCCTTTCGATTTGGCCTGCCTCGTTTCCGATGACTACATCGTGGCTGCTTTGGCAATGATCTTTGAATAGATACGAAGGCAGGAGATGAGTGCCCAACTGGCGGCTTTCTCCCCCTCAACTACGCCTGAATTCCAAGAATTTCCCCCCTACATCAGGCTGTCGTATATGTGCGGAGGCATGCAAATTTGCATCATGCCGGCCGAATGCTACGGTTCACTACGGACGAAATGCAAAATGCAGTCTGCAGACTGCAAGCTGGCCCACTGTCAACACCACACAACCTTCAGAAGGCTCGCAGCCACGAACCCTGCGACCGCGATGACCGACAAGCCACGACGAGCATCACGAAACCATCAAGGGCTTGGACTGGAATCTCAACATTGCATCCGCGAGAAGCCATGCTCCCTCTTGTCTGCAGCTGAAATGCGAGCAATTAAGGCGGTCTGCGATTGCGATAGCCCTCGGCGCTAATGGCTGCGCTAAATCCCTCGTCAAGCAATGGCACACGTTGCTCCCCTATGGGTTTTCAAATCTCCAACGCCCAATCACCACCCTCCACAACCGACATCAACCCCGGCCTTCATCACGTACTTGGTGCCAGGTTGGGATGACAGTTGGCCTTGCAACGGTCGTTCCCATCAGACGACATCACTTGCAGATGAGATGCCAGCCTGGCCAGCGGAAGTCTTCCCCGGGGCCTGTCCCGCCCCCCTTTGACGGCTGCATCTAGCGAATGGCATGACATGGGCCCGCCGGCTGTGCAAGATTGTCCGTTTGGCACTTGACCAGCAAACTTCTGCGCAAAACCACCATGCAAAATGATAGATCAAAACTCGCTTGTCAGCTACCTTACCTCCAGCACGCATACGCCATCCACGCCGCGCTGCATCAAACTTCACGATTCATGAAACTAAACAGCAAGCCAGCCATCAGACGCAAAGCTTCGGCCAACTGACCAGTCCGGACCACCTGCTTGTCTCGGCAAAGATCGAAGGCCCGGAGATCTTGATCGCTGCATCGCCGATGGCTTCTGATGATTTGGAGAGCTGCACCAGGCTGCTGGGTCTTTGCAGGCCTGTGCGGTATTCGCGCAAGTTACACAAGGTGCCAGCAGACAACTTCAGCCATTGCCGGTTTTCCATCGCGACTGCTTCTTCTAGATGAGCTTGGCATTTGCGTCTGGTCGCACAACAGCCGTCGTGCCGTTTCCTTGGGTTCGACGTCATCGCAACGGCATTGCACTGTCAGTCGTCTAAGCGATGCTTGGGGACATTGCGATCTGCCTGGTACCTGCATAGGAACATCTGGTCTCTCCCTAGACGAAAAGGAAACGGCGGTTCGAAGTCGAGCTCGACTGATTGTTGAGTTCTCTTACCTCATGTCGACTAAGCGCAACGAAGAGGAGAAACCAAACCGAGACCGACCTTACGAACACAAATCGGCCGGGGGCCTGGACCGCCGGCGGGAGCATTAGTCGAGTTTTCTGCAATATGATCAAAATTCCGGGTCGGCCCAAAGCTCATGGTCACATGGTTGGCCGAATAACAGCAACGGGGCAATCTGTTGCAATGTCCATCGGGCTGGCGACGTCCAAAGCAGCACCCAGCAAAAAGTATGCGACGATGTCGGACTTCGATTGTGGAGACTGCGACAAACATGACTGAAGAGCGCTCCATCCCGACACTCGGGCACCTGGATTCGATAGTCGCTGCAAGACAAGAAAGCCACAATCGGATTGCATCGGAGACAGGTGTTCGTTTACGGAGAATGAGAAGTTCCAACTTGGTCCGACTTGTCTCATTCAGACTCGAAGCCTCTCACAAATTGGATGTCTTCATCGTCAACAAGAGGCGATATTCGACAAGATCGCATGTTGCAATAAGATTGGGCAGGCGACCTGCAGCAAAACACTTTTTTTCTTCGTCAAACAAGGATGCGTCTTGCTCGAGAAATGCCCAAGCGACTAATAAGGGCTGACACACAATGGGCGAGGGCACAGACAGTGGGCAGTGATTGGTGGCTGGCGATTTGCACGTCTGTCATTTATCACATTCTGGAGATCTAGTGCCTCAGCCCGGAAGGGCAATAGTCACGAATAGGGACCACCTAATGACGACGAGATGGGGTCTGGTTCAGCTGACGCCCATGGACAAACAAGACTTTCTACGGCCAGATTTTAAGTGAATGGCAGCGGCTGAGGGATTTAGCAGGCAAGCAAAAGCACGGCCTCAACGTGCAGCACATGTGGGAATCTCCGCGATCGCCGAGGCGCGAGTTTATCGCGGTGTCGCTGGGTGCCATGGTTGCCTTACCATGTATCTGGGTCGATGATCGGGTTGCGCATTAAGTGATCGATCTCTTGACACGATAGCCTCCTGTCACTGCGGAATATGCATATTGCGGCAGCAAACGTGTTGATTACTATTCCAACGGGGGAGGAAAACAAAAGTCGACGTTGGCGGCGGGAATGGCGTCTCTTTGCGACGCAAAGCTTTGGTAACGGGAACAACCGCAGAGGCGAAAGTCTGCTGATGTGTCGTGGGGCCTTCCCGTCAATAGTCACGGAAGGCCCTGTGCCTCGTCCGCTGTACGCGCCGGTCTCGTAGCGTACGACTCAGCGTCCCAAAGTCTACTTGCTCTCTTCAACCACAGGCGGCAAAGGTCGAGAGAGAAAGAAGATTTTTGGGACCAAATCAACGGGACGCAGCGCACGGACGGAAATCCGACAGAAGGGAAAGGGAGGGCATCAGATCTGAGTCTTTACCTCTAAACGCACGCCTTGGGCCCTGGCCGGCATCTTCAATCCTGGCAACGGGGAAAGAGGATGGCTTCGTGTTGTCCCTGTTGAGTCGAGTCAAGTCAAGTCGCAGGTGCGTGAAGTGGGAATTCTGGGAGAAGCGAAGACAAAGCGCAAATGAGAGATAAACTTGGTCAACTCTCACTTTTCCCATGGAAAAAGAAGAACTGACGAGAAGTGGCCTCTGATATGTGACGAGAGAAGGGTAGGACACGGCAGGGAGGATATGGTGGGAAAGACGAATCCCAAGACCAAGCGAGACCAGCACTTTTAGTGCCGCCCACCTCTGCGCCCTCGAGTGTCCCCTGGTCCCGGCGATGAGTGCCCCGGACCCCCGGGGAAGTCTTCCACATTAAAGCGGGACCACGGGGGTCTCAAAGGAGCGGCGGCGGTCGGATAAGGCGCGGCTTCCTGGGTTGGCACACGCCAGCGATGCACCTACCTACCGTCCGCGGCCAGAGGCACTGGACGGACTGTTCAAGTGCACCCAGTACGTACCTGTCCAACCGCCACAGATGGTTAGCGCCCTCAGCGTTGGGTGTCCCACTGTCCAACCTCCATCCACTCGACTTCATCTTCCCATCCTCACGCAGTCCACGCAGTCCTTACTGCGCCCACAAAGGCAGAATTTCTCGTAACGACGAACCCCCCTGCGCATGCGGACAGTCTCGGCAGATACCTATAGCTGATCTGGCCAACGAATCGTGGTTCAAATCTAAGCACCTGCATCAGCCCAACCCACGTCAAGTCTCACGTGGACTGATTCCGTCGGCCCTAATCAGATCTCGACCTGACACAACACCACCACTTGCTAACGACGTTTGGCACTCCCAGTCAACCCGACATTCAACCGCCAATCACCAGCTCTGCAACACATCTCCTTTGCATTCTCATCCTTGACCACTCCACCAGCTTGGCCCCTCCCGTCCTGGTCCAGGCGCTACGGGTACTTCGCGATACACCAGCGGGAGCCTCACGTCCCAGACAACTTACGGGAGCCATCAGCCACCAGGAGCTCCTTGGGTTGCTGCACATCATCCATCAACGGCTGCGTTCCGTCTGTGACCGTACGGCACAGCATCAACGCTTCATCATGGGCAAACAGAAGACAGCCAACGTTGGCAAAGCAAAGGGAGGCGCTGGCAACGCTGGAGCCAACGCAAAGACGACCGCTGCTCCCGCTCCCAACGTCCCTCCCGCTTGGCCCCAATTCAAGCCACCATTACCAGTCACCGATCTTGTGCCCGAGAAATTCCCATCGTGCCCGGACAAGGTCGTTCTTGTCCGCAATTTCTGGCCGAAATCTCTATGCAGCTCCTACGTCACATTCCTGAGGAATCTCCCGCTTGTCACCACCCCTGGCCGACCCAAGAGAGGGGAGGCGGTCAGAGTGAACGACCGTTTCCAAGTACAGGATGCTACTTTCGCTCGACGCCTGTGGGAGGAGACGGGCCTGCGCGAATCGCTTGTCCAAGAAGATGTTCAAGGCTTATGGTGAGTCCACTGCTTTCACCTCCCTCCCCCTGCCCTCTCCCCGCCCTTCTCAGAACCCTGGCCCTGAAGGATGCATCGTACGCGCTTCCGGCTAGATCCGCCAGCTGCAACCAGTCGAAAAATACCCAAAAGGAGTTTTGCGCACACGAAACCCATGCGGAAGAAGAAAACCAGCTGCCTCACGAACATCCAGGCGGGATTTCGGCTAACACGAGAAATACATGCTAGGGGCGGTGAGGTCGTCGGTCTGAACCCCAACATTCGCATCTATCGCTACTCCAAGGGCCAGTATTTCGATGCACACTGTAAGTCCCAGCGCCAAGTCGTCAACCTGTCATTGAACAGCACATCTACTGCGGCCGACGAATTTTCTGCGTGTCACTGTGCGAAGTCCTTCCCGCCTCAAAACATGTAGGATCCATGATCGAGTTCCTCGAAATCCTTTTGCGAGTGCAACTTGCAGCAAGCCACCAGGATTTGTCATTGTTGATCAATAGCTCGAGTTGAGAGTCAACAGTATAGTAGGGAGACATGCAAGCCTTCGAAGTCTTGGGCGAGCAATCGTGACATCACCAAGTGTTGATATCCTCCTCCCTACACCGACTCTTCTTAGGTCCCAGGGCCGAGTTACAGTTAGACCAGCCCACGACGCTCGTCTGGTGTTCAGCAGGCTAGAGTTGCCGTGTGCAGACACATCTTGCGAGTAGTTAGTCACGCAAGCTTGGTCCATACGTTTTCTCTCGCCCCTTTGGCAATTTCCTTCATCGACCCATTCCTACGGATACTCGCCATGGAGTGGTTTCCAGTCCATGCATGTCTCAACCTCATCAAGCCTAGATCAAAAGTCTCCAAAGAGGTCCCATGACTTGTAGTGTCGCAGACAAGAGACAAAACCAGCCGGGACCTGCGGTGGTTTTACCCACTATTTCTGTTATGTTTGAGGACGAAATTACATGGCCCCGCAATGGGTGAGGGCAGCGATCTACGATGGTCATTTTTGATATATGATATCTCGCCTCCTCCGCTCAGTCCTCTTTGTTTACCTTCCACTCGTCATCACAAGACTCTCGAGAGCTCGACCACCGCGAATCCCATCGATTTGTTCCGCAGGCCCAAACCCTGCGGATCGTTCCATACCGATCCACCCAATGGCGTTATCCTTCAGGGTCCCGGGGGAGAATTGAGTCCGGGAGCCAGCAAGTCCGATCCAGTCAACCCATCAGTATCTCGCATCTTCCCATCCGCTCGAGAAATCAAGCAACGAATGTGCGCTGGCGATTGCCTAGCTGCAGCTTCCAAGGATTCCTTCTGCGCTCTTTGACACTTTCCTTCTGTCCCCTTCACCTGTCTTCCGTGCAGGCCTCCTCTTCATCTCGCTCCTGCTCTTAAGATCGATCCAGGCCAGCTGACCAACGGAACCCCCACACTCAGACGACGACTCCAATAACGTCTCGCTCGCCCTCGACCCCTCCGCGGGAGCCGTGCCGTGCAAGACAACCTGGACACTCTTGCTCTACCTGACATCCTCCGCCGAGGGCTGCGTCGGCGGCGAAACCGTCTTCTTCCCCAACGACCGCCGCTCCGCCAAGGAGGAGATCCCGGTCGCGCTCGAAACGGGCATGGCTCTCTTGCACAAACATGGCGATGATTGTATGCTGGTAAGTCCTCTTCCACTTCCTCTTTCTCTGCTTCTGTACGATTTCCATCGTCGTGCGTTCCCCTCGTCTCTCCTCGAAAGGCTCTGCATCCTCCCCTGATCCCCGACCCAAAACCGCGCGCTCCCGACCATGCTCTTTTGTACAACTGCGACCGTTGCCACCATGGGCTTTTCGCCAGCGTTCCTTCTGCCGTACCTATTTCTTTTCTTTTTCGTGGCGCGAAACAGGCCTACCACGGCCACACAACTGCGGCCTCACCTCTGCTACCTTTTCGCTTTGTCCCCAACCACCCGTCCCGCCTTGCCCGCCCACTCTTGCAGACATTAAACTCCCTTCCTCCCCCCTCCCACTTATTTTTTTCTTGCCCACCTCCCCAGCCGTACTAGGTCCAAGGAACTGCAGACTGACACATGTTCCACTTATCAACAGCACGAGGGGCGGGAAGTCACCGCAGGCGAAAAGTGGGTGTTGAGGACCGATCTCTGCGTCAGGAAGTGAACACGCCGCAGCCCTCACGGCCACACCCACACTCACACATACACAAACATGAACGCAAACGAAAACAACCCAATGCCGGGTCGCACCCCTCCTTTTCCCGCTCGGACGTGGAGCCAAGAGGAACGAGATCGCGCGGGCGTAGCGGATGGTGCATCCACTGCGTTGGTATTTCGTCCCCGGGAGAGAGAGAGGGTACTTTGCTCCGAAAGGCAAGCCACGCGCGCAGGATGACAGATCAATGCCTACGAGACCATTACATACTTCCATTTTGTACCTGTTCAGAAAACCACCAATCCACCAACCGCCGCGGGATCGTGCCATGTGCAGCCGCACCCCTCCCCCCCGCCCATCTACAATCTACTCCTCCTCGTCCGCTTGTTCCTTTCCCCTCTTATTTGGTCAAATATTCTGCTGCTGCTGAATCGTATGGAGAAAATAACGGGACCTCTCTTCTTGTTCGACATCGGGAAGGCGTCAAGTGATCTCTGTGTATGCATCCCGTGCCCGATTAGGTTGCCGTTGATCGACGTGTTCGACGTGTTCGAAAGGGACCGAGCGGGAATTCTTTCCCCTGGCCCTTTCTCTTTCGTCCTTGTTTTCGTTCCGGGAACGACAAGAGGTGTGGTGTGTGTGTGTGTGTGAGTTGTGCCGGGGATGAGGAGCAAGAGGGCTTGTTCGTGCTCGTTCGCAACTGCTCACGAACAAAGTCCCAGCCGCCAATTCATCGAGACAGATATTGCCGGGACAGGTAGCAATTTTCAAGGGGTCCTAAAACCCCCCCTCCCCTCTCCCCGAACAAAATGCACACTACCCATCATTGTGTGTCACTCGCAACTCGCCTATGTCGCCATGTGTGCCATGTAGACATCTTCCCCAAGCGATGCGGCTGACTTTGAGGAGGGGAAAAAGCCTTCCACCTTGACTAGTTTTCTGATAGGAAGAAGATTTTTCTGCCGTTGCCGTTGCTGTTCCTACTGCCCGCTGCTGATCTACGGGTTGTTCCTTTTGCATGGCGCCGCGCGAACTTTTGCAGTGGATGAACTCAGCGGCATGCACCCCTTTTCTCGTGCCTGCGTCCTGCGTCCTGCGGCCCTCTTGAGGGGTGTTTCTCGTCTAAGGTAGTCTGCAGTCTGCACATGTGTCTATGTCATTCGTGTACACTTGTGTGAAAGAAAATGTGTATATTTTGCATGTAGAAGCCTCAGCCGGCTGCGTCCGGGCTGCCTCCCCGAGTGCCCCGAATAGAAAACGGTCCGGAGAGCAGGCCTTTGCTGCGCTGCCACATCCTCTTGGCCATGCCGTCTATTCCTTCTCGCAGCAACACGACGTGGACCCTTCGGTTCGGAGACGTCCTTGGGCACGTCCCAAGGTCACAGCGGCATCAGCAACAGGCGACGTCTGCGTCATGAAGTGAAATCTATTATGCCATGTCCATGTGTCTCGTAAATGGAAAGTGACTGATGCCTGACGGACTGTGTGCGCACTCGCGCTTCCGGCCATCAGGGCCCAACCAAACACCCAAGTCTACTAGCCCTCTACCCTTTCTCAAGCTCCGAAATCGCTGCTCTATCCATGTCCATGATGAACAGCGAGAGACGACGGGAATGACCTGTCGAACGCCGTGTCGCAGCAGAAAAAGCTCCCGTTATCGCGCCCGCGTTCAGCCTCTAGCGCCGCTCATCAGTGCGGCCATACGATCCATGGGGTTGTCTTCATCCTCGACATGTACCTCTTCCCCACCGGTGGCGTCTTCGGTCTTGGATGACACTGAGACCTCGTCGCTGTTCCTGTCCGTGGGGCTGTTGTCAAACAACCTGAGCATTTCACCCCGGTGGACCTCTCTTCCGTCCTCAATCTGCGTCGCTGGCTCCGCCTCAACGGTCCCATGGGGAGCGTGGTAGGTCTTCTTCGTAATCGGCGCTGCTTCTGGGTTGATGGTGGGTGTGGTCTTGACTTTGCCCGTGGCAATACGGCCCATGATCCAATGAAAGATCCAGGGGAAGCTGATCAGGGGCATCGACTGACGCTTGTGCTCCTCGTCTTCGTACTCCCCTGCCAGTGCTGCATTGACCTCGTCCTGGGTCACTTTATACATGGCCGCCACGAATGGGCCGATGTTGTCGAACACCCGACTACCGCCGGCCTCCTGATAGCAAATTTCGCGGAAACGATGCTTCAGCAATGAGGATTCTCGGCCTATCTCTTCCTGCTGCTTGTAGTCACTGCCGACGCGCGGCTTGGACAAGGCGAAACCGGTCCAAATCTCGAACTCGGTATCAATGTCGCGCTGACCCATGAGACGCCGCATTGCCATATCATACTGGACCTTGACCGCTCGCGCCTTGGAGAGCAAGTCTTCAGTAAGATGGAAGCGGTTCAGAACTCTGTTGTCGAATCTCTTCTCGTAGAGGGGGTTGAAACCCACGTCTTGGATCATGTCGTACAATTTACCGAGAGCGGTCGATGAGTGGTAGGTCTGGCCTCTGCTGCCCAGGAAATGAGGGCGTTCCTTTGGATTCAGTGCGGGAGGGAGCTTTGCAGGGTCACCAGTCTTGACGTAGTCGACAGCCTTGGAGTGTAGAGCTGCAAGCTGAAGACCTGTATTGTGTTAGTACTCCTACAATCCTTTAGGTCCGTTTCATCCCAGATAAACTCACATTTCTGATCCTTGACGCCAAGCAAAGACTTGTCAGCGTGGGCCAAGTGTGCAGTAGCAATCAAGGCGAGACTGTCGTTCTGCATGTACCGAACAAAGAATGTTCTGAGATCCTTGACTTGAACATCTCGACGAAGTACTGCCGGTGTAGGCTGAGTATAGTTCATCGGCGGTTGGTGCCAATCTTTTGGAATGAGGTCTTGGTTCCACATCACGAAGAAGTCATCGCCATCCAGATCACCTCCTGACATCATGCTCGGAACATCGCGGTCGCCGTTTCGTGGGAAAACCACGACATTTCTAAGGTGGTGCAGCTGGGGGACGTCAACTGCCTCCACCACCCTAAGATCGCCTGGATGAAGTGATGGGTTGCGTCCAACGATACAAAGCCCCGTGACACATGTGAACTTTCCACTGCCGCTAGGGCTTTCGACCTGCAAGAAGACCTGAGGCAGATCCTCGATGTTGTTGGTCTTCTTCCCTTCGGTAGCGGTCGAGTAACCTCGTAGAGAACCTGTCTCATCCAAGCAGCCTAGAAGGAAAGCACTCTCCTCCACAATGACACGGGCCTTTTCCTTGAGCAGCTTCATGGACCAGATTCTCCAAAGATCCAGGATTGTCAGCACAAATGGCTCCTGAATCTCCGGGTCCATGAACCCCCAACCAACGAGATCTTTGATTGTCAATGACGTCAAGTTTTCATCGATATAATGACCCAAAAGGCTAGCGGCCGCAACTCGATCGTTCATTGCTTTCTGGTAGTTCTTGATCTGCCGTTCCGCAAGCTTCAGGATCGTCTCCGCTCGAACACCAAGGGATGTCAAAACAGTGATTGTCTGGCGATTCAAGGTCGCAATCGAATGCTGTGCGTACTTTATAATCTCAAGACCATTGAATGTTGCCTTGAACTTCTCTTGAGATGGCCGAATGTGAACCTCCTGCCTTTTGGCATCGGGCCAGACTGCCAGCATGCCTTTGCAACCGCCCATTCGGAATTGAAATGCGGAAGGGACGCTGATGCAGGCGTCATCGCTGCTCATCTCTACAACGACAATGTGCGCCAGCAGCTGCGAAATTTTGCCGACGCCGTCGCTGAAACAGAAGCCGTTGCGTTCGACGTCTTCAATGGGAACAATGTTGGCAACGGTGGTTCCTGGGATCTCGCGCGTGGTAGAGAAGCACTGCCCGATCCGTGCAGCGTATTTCGCAACATTCTTGATGTGACCGAAGTCACCCATCCAGTCCCGAATATAGTCGCAGGATCTATGGTCCGTTGGGCAAAAGAAGTAGACCGCGCATTCTCTAATTTGAGAATTTCCGAATGCCAAAAATTCGTAGTGTCGACTTCCAATGGTGATGCCCTTGGCCAAAGTACGGTAGACCCTGCTGAAAAGCTCTTCGCCCGAGTCGCTGTAGATCTTACCGTAGTAAAGTTCGTCAGTGAACTGTACTCGGAGGAATCGGTCTTGATCTTCGCTGAACTTTCGGAGAACTCTGTTGGAGGACTCGACGCCAGGAGAGCTGTAGTATACTGTTGTGGGAGTCACGACAACCTTCCGGATTGTGGTGCAGTAGCGAGGCATCAAGGGGTTGGGGAAGTGAAGATTCGCCTCCTCATCCTCAAAGATGTCGTTCAGATCCCATACTCTCTTCTCTCGATCTGCAAAATATTCGAGAGTCCATTTCGCACGGTCCTTGTTGACAGCTGCTAATCGCTCCAGGAACTCTCGGGTGATAGCGTATTCACAGATGATGCCTCGAGAAATGCAAACCTCCAACTGATAGTGGACTTGGAAGTCCAAGGCTGGCGGTGACTCCAATGAGGATGCAAGAGACTGCAGAGACAGACCGGTGGAGGTGCCTTCTTCCTTCCCCTGGGTCTTTGAAGCTCTGTATAGGGTAGCGAGCAGAGCCGGCCTATGCGGAGTGAACTTGAAGTTGCTCAAAGTTGCCTCGATGTTGTATGCATGAAGAGCCTCCAGAGCCTCGTCCAAGGAGTTATCTTCATCGCCGACAATGAATCTCAAAGTTGTCCATCGACCAATGTTGATGTAGCCCGGGTCGTCAAAGTCTGTCTGCAAGGTGACAGGGAAGTTCGAAGGCAGGCGATTGTCTTTCAAAATGATCGTCCGACGCTCCCACATATCCAGAGTGCCCCAAAACAGCCTTCCTTCTGCCATTGCGGCAAGACTCTTGTCGTCTCTTTTTGTTCTGTAAATAGGAGGAAGCTCGAGAGGAATGACCAAGGCAGTAGCACCCTCTTCAGTCTTGGTCCGAAAGAGTTTCGTTATGCGAGCAAAGGCGATGTTGCAGCGGTAGCGATGGAAATTGTCGTCCTCCACGTCTTGAGCACCAACTACACTGACGACTGCTTCGACATGCTGATGAGCTCTCTTCGGAATGTCAAACGTAACGGTGAGCTGCTTTCTTCCAAGATCCACATCAATTTTGACATTGTCATTGACAGACTTGTGGACCATCATGTCAGTTTCCTGGAGAAGCGAACCAAAGTCCATCTGCTGCACTTTCAAGACCGTTCTCGTTCTCAGTTGAACTTTTGGGTTGGCAGGACTCGGTGTCAGGTCGTCGAACTTGAGCTTCGGCACGAAAAGGGCGAGAGTGATTCGCGCCCTTTGTCCAGCACCGAACTTGATGTTGTAGTTGATGGAAGACCAGAAATTCGTTTCGGGCGGCGGCTCGAAGCGAACCTTTGCGAAGCCATTGTGATAGCCGTCCTTGTTCTCGCCGATCTCTAGCATGGTGATGTTGCCATGTCGTGAGAATGACTTGTGCAGGTCTGCCAGCGTGGCAGCGGAAGGCAGTCTGTGAATCTTGAGCGTGAGCTCCGGCCAGGTCCTCCAGGGATTGGTATTTATGTCGAGACGTTGACTGCTTGAGATGGTAGGCTCGGTTTTCGTATCGATTCGACGAGTACCTATGTAGTCTGTCAGCAAATTGAAGCAAAACAATCGGGCAGTAGCAAGGGACACGTCGAGATGATGAACTTGTTAAGGTCTTCCCCATGAGGCAGGAAGCCCGGGAAAGGGAAGTGCCAGTGACGGCTGAGAAGAGTGCAAAGGTATTTTGCGGAGAAGAAGTCTTGCAGCTCGGGGGAGCGGTTGCGGAAGGTCCTATTCACGACAACTTCGACTGACTAGACCAAGATAGAGATATTTGTACGCACCTGAACGAAAATTGTTGGGCGTGGTCTGTCTCGTTGACGAAAGCGTCTTCAAAACTGTACCCAAGCTTGCCTTCTCGCGCTGCTCTCCTTCCTGTTGGCTCTCCTGCGTAATCCCTAGGGGCACTTCGGACGCCGGAGACCCCGGAGCAGAGTTTGATCGCGACATGGCATCTGCGATGTCAGAACTCATGATGTTGTGAGAGAATCTAGGTCGGGAGAGACATTGATGGTGGTGAAGTTGTTTGGGATTGATGCAGAGATATGGGTTAGGTCGAAGGTGAGAGGCAGAGAAGAAATATTGAAAAAGGTGAGGCGGACAGAGGGCTAGCCTGGAAGGTGTGTCGGAAGTTGCGTTGTTTCCTTCTTCAAGAAGGCAGGTAGACAATCAATCACCTGAAGGCGTTGTCTTCTTGATTTTCTTCTTTGAGGTGAAGTCGAGAAGATTCTTTTACCTCAACTGCAACTACCCGCCTGCCACATAAAGCTTCTTGATGGGTCGACGCGAAAAGTCAGGAACAACGCAAAGTCTGCAGGCTCCCGAATCGGAATCCACACCTGTATTAATCCCATCATCAATCTTCACACCAACATACACTCTCTCTGTATATGCCAGCTCGAGAATGGAGATCATCACTTCTGATGCGTCACGAACGAGATACTACAATCAAGGCTGTTACTGACCTGGATTTTATTGATTTTATCCCCTCTCTATGGAAATTGTTCAAACTTGAGTATGTAGCATCCAACCAGCTCAACCGGAGTTACCAAGTTTGTCAGGTGTCTCGAACTCGCTAAGTGTTTTGATGGAAGCTGACTATTCCAAATCTTGTAGCCAACGGCGCAAGTCACTCCATCCTGTTTTTACCAAACCAACTGAAGACAATGCGATGCAAACACGTCATCGGCCATACTACAAAAGCCCACCCCAAGGAGCGACCATCCACAACATCAGATCGTCTTGGACCCCTCGGGAATGTCCATGATCTTACCAGGGTTCAAAATCCATTTCGGGTCAAGCGCCTTCTTGATGGATTTCATCACGTCGAGCGTGTCAGGACCAACCTCAAGAAGAAGCGAATCCTTCTTACCCCAACCAATGGAGTGCTCGCCGGTACATGTTCCCTCCATTTCGATCGCGCGCTTGACCATGTTCTTGACACACTTCTCAACCTTTTCTCTCTCCTCGGGGATCGTGCGGTTATAGATAATGCTTTCGTGGAAGTTTCCGTCGCCGATATGGCCAAGGATACTGGCGAACAATCCCATCTCGTCCATCTCCTTTTTGCTAACCTCGATCAAATCGGCCAACCGACTGAAGGGCACTGCGACGTCCGTACTCCCTGCAAAATGTTAGTCTGCGCCGCATCGGCAAATGGAAACACGCTGAAAACTACTCACAGACTTCCTCTCCGTCTTTACGAAGCGCCAGCATTGACCAGAGCGATTCTTTCCTAGCCGACCAGAGAAGCTTCTGCTCAAGTGCATCGTTGGCGAACTCGAAGTTTCCGCCCTTGTGGTTCTTGGTGATATCCTGCACCAGGCCGATATTTTCCTTTACACCAGCCTTGGTACCAGAGAACTTGAAGAACAGAGTCGGAAGCTCCTTCCATACCCGAGGAGCTGTAGCACCTCCCAGGTTGACGACCTTCATCTGGACTTCGTCCATGATCTCCATGGCAGCGACAGGAATGCCATTTCGCATTACCTCGGCCGCAGCAGCCGCTGCATCTCGAATGCTTGGGAATGTTACAACTGCCACAGAGAAATCCTCCGGTACGACTGTGAGCTTGAGAGTGGCTGAAGCTGCATCAGTTGTCTGTTCAAGTCGTCGAGGGGGCTTCTAAGTACTCACCTTCGGTAACAATACCAAGCGTTCCTTCAGACCCAACGATGAGCCCGTTGAGATTGTAGCCGGCGGATGATTTTCTTGGCCGTCTTCGAGTCTTGACCACGGTGCCGTCGGACAAAACGACGGTCAGGTTGATGACCCAATCCTTCATGGTTCCGTATCTAACCGCATTTGTTCCCGAGCAATTGGTACCGATCATTCCTCCAATCTTCGCACTTGGACCTAAAGTTTTCGTCAGCAGTTATAACGAATCGCATACATCGGCACAATCCTTACCCGGATCAATGGGGAAGAAGAGACCACTCTCCATTTTCGCCAGCTTCTCATTCAAATCCTGCCATCCAATACTTGGCTGGACAACAATATCCATATCTTCCTTGTTGAAAGAGAGAATTCTATCCATGAAGGCAAAGTCGACGCTGATTCCGCCATACGGAGCTGAGAAGTTGCCTTCCAAACTGGAACCACCAGAATAAGGGATGATAGGGACGTTGTACTTGAAACACACGCGTGCAATCGTCGAGACCTGTTCCGTTGATCGCGGGTACGCGACTGCCACAGGAAGACCATCGGGGTTGGTCGTCGACCATTCAGAGTAGCCGTGAGCATGCAAGTCCTCAGGATCAGTCGAAATAATGTCATCGCCTCCCAGTTCTTGGCGAATTTCCTTCAGGGCCTGGCACATTGTCAGGATGATGGAACACGTATGCATACGGAGAACCTACCTGCTCCATTTCGGCCATACTCGCATACTTGATAGGTCCGATACCGCCAAGCAGCGAGCCATCCGCGAGAGGGAGAAAGTTGGACGACAAGGGGCTTTCTTTTCTTGAACTGGCAAGACCCCATCCAGCGGCGCCGGCAGCCAAAGCCACACCCCAAACAGACTTTCCATTCCAACCAGCATGCGAATTCGCGCTTGAGCTTTCGGAGTTGCCACCTTGAGTGCTCTTCCGGGCGGTCGTCACGGAGAACCTCCGGCCGGCTCGGAAGGTGGATCCCACCAGTTGGCCCCTCAAGCCGTGGCTAAGGAGGGGCCTCGCAGAGTATTTTGCCGACATGGGCTGCAAGGAGATAAATCCGAATTGTCAAGATTGTGAGTCGCTATTGGTCCAATGAAGTGGCCAGGGGTCGATGCTGTCAGAAACGACAGGGCTTGACCACGGTGTGGGTTGCGTCGGCGAATGGCTTGTGTCGGCGTTGGATTTTCCTCTGTTTTTCTGCTCTACTTCAATGAAACGGGAGTTGAACGATCGAATTCAAGGACAGCGACTCTCGACTTGTTCGGCAAGGAATAGATATGAATTCTTCGAAGCCACTGTCGGGAAAAGGAAGGCATCCAGTCTCAAGAGAGTCGAGTGATGCTGACGAGATCAAAGGGTCGGCGCGAAACGAATCCGTGACAAAGACGTTCGAGATCGTGAACACACATGAGTGGGAAAGGGCACACTTATATCCCAAGAAGAGGACAATCAACCACTGCAAGATTCAAATCTCGAGCTATGTCGCAATCGTCCACAGAGGAAGCTAAGCGGCTAAGAGTTGGGGCAAGTGGATAAGGTGGATGCTCATGGGGCCGAACATCTTTAATAACGATGTTTTGGGCGTTTCTTCGTGGGAGGAATCCAGAGCGTGACCCAACCGCAAGTATCTGGGCGTACTACTTCCCACATTAGGAACGAGGTGCATCCAAGCCAGAGGCTATGGGTGGACAGACGGTCTCCTGGCATCCAATCAGATCACTGGAGCATAGCGATGTTGGCCAAACCAGTCAAGAAACCAAAAAGCAGGAGGGCTACGATGACGAGAAGCTAAGCCGACGAACAGCCAAGGTCGTAGGTCTGAGTCGTCAGCGGGGTGGGATGCCGGGCTACCTCACGATGGTACTTCGCAGTACCTTGGCGACTAAGACCAGACCAGCTAAGTTCTCCAGGTGGAGCACTGGAGCTGTCTTGCTGCTGGAGACACAGCAAAAGGGACGACATCGGTCTTGAATCTGGGGCACAACCGATTTCAAGCGGGGAAGAGGCCGAAGCTGAAACAAGAGACCGTCGACTCTTTCGGTGATGGGAACATTTGCCCGGGCTTCGGAACGGTGACGGCGATGGGTGGCCCAGCTCAACTTGGACGCTTGGCTGCCTTGTATTACCAACCACCACTCTCGTCCTCATCACTTATGGCCACACCAACCCAGCATGTCGGGTAGCAGAAGCAGGGGCATCGGAGTTGACGCGGAAAAGAGACGCTGGCCATCAGATTGAACGGCAAAGAGGGCATGAGCACCTGCCGAGACGGGAGGTTTTCACGTCATCACAAGAGACCGACACCAGGTTGTGATGCAAGTGTGACCCCCGTTTCGTGGGGTGGCTTGGGAAAGGTGGATGGGGGGCAGCGACAACCTTCTGGAGTTGTCAATATGAAGTCTGATTACCAACTACATCCCACCGTTTTGTTTGGGCTACAAAGCGACATAATCAAACCGGAAGACCTGTTGTGCAATTGGCTGCCGAGCGAAAACTTGGAGGGCTTCGGCTAACAGTTCTAAGACTTGCAAGAACATTGACCGACACCCGTCTTGTACGACAGTGAGACGGACGAAGAGCCTGAAGATCTAGTGCTCAAGCTAGAAGCGTGTCCCCCACGTTCAGCCAGCGAAGCGACGAGGGTGGTAAAATTTCTAGCTATCCCCATGACCACGGAGTTCAACCTTGCAGGGCAACAGGGTCAAAAAAGAGCCTTGAATTCTGACGAACCCCCGCGCATCGGCCCTGTCGGTGTAGAGTCCGCGGTGGAGCCTGCTTGAGGGGTAAAAGGACTGCGGTGGACGCCGAAGACGCAGGCCCGTTAACCTCCGGTGCTTCTAGAGAGCAGTCAGTGCCGCATCCCGGCTGGGAGCTGACGGCCCTTTCATTCTCTGGTGGGTGTCACTGCATGTTCCTGCGCACCGCTGCGAAGTCGCACTTCTATGGTGGATCACAGGACGAAGGCAGACACTAGGCCATGCTTGCGAGGCTCTTTCGTGGACATTGATAGAGCAAGCAACTTACTCCCAGCTGTCCCACCCATGGATGCAGCCGGGAATCCGCTTCCGATATTTGGGCCGGCACGGAGGTTTACCGAGGCGAAGACAGCCACAGCGCTGTTTGAACAGGATGCTTCTGAGCAGCTGAAAACTGCAATGGCCGTACAGGACTCTCATCCCCTCCAAGTTGAACCGCTCACAGCGTTTGACTTGCTTACCACCTATGTCAATAGTCGTCAGGGATGTCTGCGAGGCTTATGTCATCTTAGCTGGTCGTCTTGGTCGCAAAGTCAACTAGAGAACCAATCGTGACTTTGGGATGACAGCATAAACAATGGCCGGTGAGTGGCTTTCGGAGACCGGTGACCTTTCTATGAATCACGGCAATAGACGAACACGAGGACGTGCTCCCCTGCCTCGTAAGAGACGCATCATCAAATGCACCTATTGTTGAGCAGACCTGCGGGCGCTCAGCCCTCCCGCAACCTTCCCAAAGGATTTTCGATGCATCACTAGGGGCGTAGTCCCACGCTGCAACCCCTGCTCTACTTGCAACCTTCCATCGATGATCGGTCTGCTTGTTGGGCACAACTTCAGGGGCTTGCATCGGAAGTCGGATGGCCCAGGCGGGAAAGCCGCAATTGTTTGTCGATTTGAAGTACTTCAGCATTTCCATGAAATCGAGAAGCCGGCAAGCAAGCTTCATCAACCTGGCTTCCAACGCTTACTTGTCTAGCCTCATTTCGCATGAGCAGAGAAACCCCAGTGTATTTATGGCAAGCCTTATTATCCGCCAACTACCACGCTTTCTCCTGTGTCAACAGCGGACCCTGCTTTGACATTGCTTAGCCATATTTTAACAAACGGTTCCTGAGAGGACAGACACTCCCCACTTGAGGATTCGAGCCCTGCAGGAGCTCGTTCTCTACGGGTCCGAAAGAATGTAGCGCTAACAGTTGCCCTCCGCTTCAATATTCTAGAACGCTGCCTGTTGCAGTCCTGGGGCTGCAGCTTCGTTGCGGTCTGGGCAGGAAAAGAAAGGTTCGGAAAGACAAATCAAATAATACGGATGACCGCATATTGCCAATGGATCTGGCGGTGGCGGAGGCAGAATTCCGAGCAATACGTCGACGGATATTGGCGAGGATTATTGCATGGTGCAAGATACCACCCGCAGTCCTGTGCCTTAGAGGCGCTGCTTGCCTTGACTACGGCACATTGTGCCGTGGGAAGATATCCATCCCTTGGGCAGATGGGATTCTCCGCTTGAACCCAATAATGTTACGGGGTACTGGACATCAAACCCGACTTCCGTCTCCAAAGACGAGTGCTGTTGTCGTCAAAGTTATCGTGGCACGACAGGTTGGGGTCTCCGCGGTTTCGATTGCTGGGGGAGTTTGACAGCGCCGGTCATACAGCGGGGTTTGGGGTCACAAAGGCGGGGTGTTCCACCCGAACTCAAGCTCGCGGCACCGGGATCACAACTTTCGTGCTGAACGTCAAAAGCGAAACTTGCCAGACTCGCTTCGTCTACGGCTGTCTGATGCTATATCATAGCACGGAAGAAGATTTGCACACAAACTGTACGCCACGCCGGAGCCAAACAGGGGTGTGACGAGAGCTGACGAGACAACCCTCAAAGCTCATGGCTGGCAGCGTGTGTAGATCCCTCTGGCGGGAGAAGCCTCTCCTTCGTTTCTCGAATATCTCAGCACCCACCATCGCTCCCTCCAGAACGCGCGTTTGACCAACGGTTCGCTCAGAATTCGACCCAGGGTGGCTTCTCCAGGAACCGATGTACCTCGCCTGAGATGCCGCTGAAATCACCGTCACAAATCAACTTTGGCGTTACACGAGCCGGACGTTCTGGCTTCGCCTCGTCGAACACTGAGTGCCTCGATTCTCAGCCTCTTGAATCCCCAGCTACGAAGCGTTCCGTTCGATTGCGAACATGGTGCGTTGTACGTAATGGTAAGACTGACAACGCCCGCCCCCCCCAAAAGTCCCCCGCGTCCCCAAGACTCGAATTCGCAGGGAAGCCGTGTCAATTTTCGTGCTGCCGAGTAAGACTGCGTCATGTAGAGCATGCAGCGAGGCACGAGACCCTTTGCACTTTGGCCTTGTTCCTCCGACTCATGTTGCGAAGTATCTCTCTATCCGTGGATCCGAATCGAGGGGGCCTTGCTGGGGCGATGTGACGGCGGCGAGCTGCGGTGAGGCTGGATCTGTGCGGCTTGCCTTCGTGTACAGCGGCCTGAATAGACCACGGTGAGCGGTGAAGAGGAGCCTCGTTGATAAAAGTGACGAGCCGGGCACCTTCTACGAAGGTCCAAAGTACAGAAGTGCTCAGATGGAATGGCCTCATTGCCACTCTAGCTGGTGATTTGTATTGGCAGCTTCAGGTCGCTGGTATCCCTCAGACCCCCGCTAGTTTGTCGACGCAATCATCTGCCTAACTGAATACAATCTGCTGCGAAGTGAACCGACGAGACGGCAAAGTCAGAGAGCATAGACATTCACGATAGCAAAACATCACGGGCCATGGAAGGGAACTCAAAAGTAACTTGGGCGGAAGAGTGACCTTCAATGGATTGGTATTGGCCGTAGTACAGCTATCTGCCGGGGACGTCAAAAAGCCGACAACTCTAAAATCAGCCCTAGACTCCGTTTTTTTGATTCATCAATCCCATTTGCCCGACCCAAATAAACCGTTTCGTCCTTTTTTGGAGCAAAGACATCACGAAAAAGTGTTGTTGCGGCCAACCAGCGTCGTGTCCTTCAGGACTACGACAGGAGCAGGCGCGCGGCAGGACTCAACTCACATACCCACTTTGCTGGAGACAGAAGAGTGAGGAGGAATTTAGTTGCCAGCCAGGGCCTGGGCGCGGCGGCGGTCGCGCTCCTCGGCGATGGTGAGCTTGACACCCTTGCCCTTGGGCAGGGAGATCCAGGGCTTCTCGGAGCCGATGACGAAGACGTTGGACTCACGGGTGGCGAAGGTGTTGTCAATGGCGTCCTTGATGTGGACGATGTTGAAACCTCCGTCGTGGCGCTCACGGTGGGTGATGACACCGACACGACCCATGTTGCGACCACCGGTGACCATGGCGATGGAGCCAGTGTCGAACTTGATGAAGTCCTGGATCTTGCCAGTCTTGAGGTCAATCTTGACGGTGTCGTTGACCTTGATGAGGGGGTCAGGGTAGCGGATGCTGTGAACAGACATTGGTTAGCCAACAGTTGGGGTAGGATGAGACATTACCAGCCGTCGGATGTAAAATTTTGGTGTGGTGTTCGTTTCGACAAATCGCGGCCAATGTTGTTTCTTTCCTTCTTTTTTGACGTTGGTTCCTGCCTTCCTTGACTAGCAAGTGAAGTCGTCCCTTGTGAAAGGAGAACGCTAAGGATATACACCCAACAAGAGCAGAGAGACGCATGTTTGACATATGGATTTTGACGAATCGACCAAAGCTTGATCCAACGGCTGAATGATGTCTTACGGAACATTGAGAGCAACACTCACGTTCTGGCATCGTGCGTGACCAAGAATGGGATTCCGCCGCGGCCGAGCTGGACGCGCTTGACCTTGCCGAGCTTGTACTCGGCCTCCTCGGCCTGGATGCGGTGGACGGTGAAGCGGCCCTTGGTGTCGTAGATGAGGCGGAAGTTCTCGCCCGTCTTCTCGATGGTGATGACGTCCATGAAGCCGGCGGGGAAGGTGATGTCGGTGCGGACCTTGTGGTCGACCTTGATGAGGCGCTGCATCATGATGGAGCGGGTCTCGCGGTAGTTGAGGGCGTACTTGAGGCGGTTGCGCAGGAAGACGATCAGGGGCAGGCAGTCGCGCAGCTTGTGAGGACCGGCCGAGGGGCGCGGGGCGTAGGTTCCCGACAGCTTGTCGAGAAGCCAGTGGGAGGGCGCGCTAAGGCGCTTCTGGTGCTTCTTGCTGGAGGCATTGTCAGTTTTGGTTCACGGTTGGCGATGTTGTTTTTTCGATTCATCTTGTCGTTTCGAAAATTGCCATCCCTTCGCCGCTGCTGTTTTCGCAAACAACAGGAACGACGAGAAGCATTTCGAATTCGAATCGTCCAGGGTAAATTGAGTGCGAGAGCAACTTACAGTCCCTTGCCCATCTTGTCTGACTGCCGATTAGTCTATGGGGGTATCTGGTCGGTGGGTGTGAAGTTGAAGTCAAGGATAATCTCAAATTCGCAGCCGGGACGTGGAGTAGCAGGTCGCTCGATCCAAAAATTCTGTGAGGCTAGGTTTTTCGAACCCTACGCTGCCAAAGTGGGGGCCTTAGATAATACAGTCAAGCGAGGCGGGTGGTCTGTGCTGCACTTTGACCAGAGCTGCTCGATTTCAACCTGCTTGTGGGGCAGTTGCTACTGTCCCGCCGCCGTCCATCAAATTGTGGAGGGCCGGCCAATGGCTGCTTCAAAGGGGACGGACCGAATCATGTCGGCGAATATGGATCCAACGAAGACATCACAGGATACTAGCGTGCGCTCAAGCTGCTGCATTCTGATACATCCATCTAGCGACTGATGCTTTCTAGCACACAGATTCACACACTCTATCCGACAGTCCTGGAAGCCCGAGGCCGTACTAGGCTTCTCGGGTCTCCTCGTTCTTTTGCAGAAACGACTGTAATCCTTCTAACCGTGTCCATTCCATTTTCCCATCCTTGACCGTGAGGTATCTGATTATGCGCCGAATCTCCATATCGCTATAACGGAAAGTCCAGTTTGGTATAAGCACCCGTTCAGAAATGACCGTAGAGGCAGCAGAGCGCCTCGTTCCCCTACTCCACGCAAACAAATAATACGCAGCACTTTTAATATCTAAATCAACGAGGCCCGGCAAACACGGGCCTCTTGGCTCTGAAGAGCATCGGATGAGTTCGCAAGGCATAGGAGCCTTGCCGTATGTTATGTATGGAGAGCTGCTGAAGGGCAGTGAAGCGACGTGGGCGTTCGGCCTCGAGATACGTGTTGTCGGCTCCTTCAACAAAAGGGTAGATCAAGGTGACATGGGCTCGGGTGCCATCTCGGCGGCATACTGCCTCATGGGCAAGTTGTCGACCTGAGAGTCGTCCAATAGCAGGCGGGAGATGTCCATTTCACCCGCGCTGCCCATGAAAGCCGCGGTTGTCGTTTCGCCAAAGTCGAAGGCCTGTTGTACCGCCGGCGATTCTCCATTGTCGAGCATCGATAGAGGCCATCTGGGCAGATCCTCCTTCGAGTTGGTCCTATTCAAGGCCGCTTCCATTGGAGGCGGTCTGTTGGGCTGCAAGGTGTTGCTGATGCTCATGCTGACCGTGGGCTCCAGCGTATCACCACCCCTGCCGTCTTTGATTTGGAACAGTCCCTTTTCAATCTTTTGGTATACACTTGGGTACTTATTCCGCACTCTATCCCGAAGGTCCGTCGGCTGTCGTCCTGACAGACTGAAGCGAGAATCCCGCTGGATCTTGGTCCATGCGGGTCCGTACTTGTCCAGACCCTCTAGTATTTGTTTATCGTCTTGGTCGGTGAATGGCCGTCGTTCCCGTCGATGAGACTTCTTGAAAGGGCCATGGATTCCCAGCTCAGCCAAGTCCTCAAGCTTCTTGCGGTGCGCCCGGCTTTTCTTCGCCTTGGGGATGCCGTCCGCGTCGAGCAAAGCGGCCTGTGCCTGCGATTGCTCGGCGACAACAGGCTCTTCCTGCGCGATAAGGATGTTCTCAGAGAGCAGGCCAGTCTTGGCCTTTGCCTTGGGCTCAGTTGGAGTCGTAGGCATTGCAGCCGTCGCAATCTTGGTGTCGCTGTTTGTCCGTCGAAGCTCGTTCGGGCAGCACGTGCGGAACCGATCTTTCAAGTCTCCCGCAGTTCGGTCGTTGAAGTTGAAGTCCGGATCCGCGAGTATATCAGTCCACTTGCCTACGCCGTGTCGATTGACGCCTAGAAGCAAGTGGTTTGTCTCTGCCTCGGACCATTTGCGTCTGGGCTTCATAGCCTTCTTCCTCGTCTTACCACTGCCGGCTTTCGAGGCCTTTGTAGGAGTCGGTTCAGGGTCCGGGGGCTTCTCGGTTTCTTTCTCTTCGGTGACGGGCGCGTAATCTCGTAGGGGCTTGAGCTGGTTGCTCTCGGGTTCGTTAAAGTCGTTGGAGGCAATGGGAGGAAACAGAGCAGCGTCTGGTGGAGGTTCATGAAGGCCATTGATGATGGGCGGCATAGCCGGCATGACCTGAGGTTGGATGGGCTTTTGCTTCTTCACCGGTTGAGGCAGCTGAACGAAGTCGTCCTTAGTGGCGATGTTCCGGTGTCTCTTCTTGTTGGATGTGTCATCTTTGCTATTGTCGGGTACTTCGTCGAGGATCTTGCTGAGGGAAAAGGATGAGTCTGTCGTGTCTCGATCTTCACCGACGAGCAGCCTGAGCTGCATATATGCGGTGCTGCTAACAGTCCCCCCTCGATCGGTTGCTCCATCGTCTTCCTTTCTCAAATCTCTCGCGGCGAAGGCATCGTCGGGCCCTCTCGAAGGTGCGAGCGGGGCTCCATGGCTCGTGGCGAGAGGTGCCTTGGGCTTATCTTCACGGTGGGATGTATCGGGCTCGAGGGGGAACGGTCGCTCGGAGGGACGAGAGTATGCCAGGCGAAGCGGCGGCAGATCAGCGCGAGCAAGCTGAGGAGTAGTCGAATCGTTGAGCAGGTGGATGAGGCGTGGCTCGATGAAGGCCATCGTGGGCGAAAGGAGTCGGAGTGGGCATTTGGTTAAAGATTGATGTAGGAAACAACACTGGCGAAGAGAAGAGGGAAAGGCAGAGCGCGGCGGTGGGGACGGAAAGAGGAGGACCAGCAGTCAGGGTGTGTGATGGCAATGATGGCAGACGGGGCAAGATGGTGAGAATGGTCGCGAGAGCAGACGCGGAGTGGTGGGATGGTATTCGAGGCCTTGCCTTCTCTTTGCCTTGCACGGCTCGACTTTTGACTGGCCAAGGCGATGGCGGAGTAAGGTAAGGTACTAAAAAAACGCCTGCAGCATTCCACGTCCGTCTGGCAGCAGTACGGACGGACGAGCAGAGCTAGCTCACACCCTGCTGCAGGGCACTCCCAGAGACATTGCAAAGCAGGTGCAGCGGTAGACCTCCACTTCCCAGAGAGGAGCAAGGCACCGAGTCCACCCACTCAGTGTCGCCGGATGTGAGGTCCCACGTGAAGATTCTCCACCAAAGCAACGGCGAACCAGGCTAGCGTGGTTGGAAACACGGTATTTCCTGCTACGGCAGGGAACAAAACCGGGTGCGCTGAACAACTTTGATACTTTTGGTCTATCATTGGACTGTCACAGGCCACCATAGGTACTTGTACCTTGCCTCACTTCATTAAATAGATAGGCCGGCAGGGCACCTTGTAGGCACCCAATCCTTAGAGGTGCCTACCTACGGTAGGCGCATCGCATGCCCAACACCCGCAGACAAGTCAACGCATTCTACTTTTGACTGCGGACTGCAGCCTCTCATCTCCAGGCCTGTTGCCTCGAGGTTGGCCGAAGAAACCAATCCCAATGGCTTCAATACGACTCCAAGCTGCCCTAAGCTCCTTGGGCAGTGAGCACTAGCCCAAGGTATGCGTGAGGTGCCTCTAGCAAGGTAGCATCAGGCGGGTGGTGAGTGGTAGGTGCCCAAGGTAAGGCGATGGAAGCAAGGGACCTCATGCTGGCGCTGGTGGTGGTGGTTGTGGCGTCCTGACACTCATTAATGAGCAGAACGAACACTGACTGGATGCTTCCCCGTGCACACCTTTTCCCACGCACGCAACCGCAACCCACCTCCTCAGGGCAAGGTTCGCTGCCTCAGCACTCGGACATGGAGGAGCTAAGAGTCCCAAGGGGACGCCGGAGGCACGGGAAACACCAGACCGGTCCCCTGTCTCCGTTGTTTCCGCCTCCCCGCTCCACCCTCGCCTCTGAGTGTCTCTCTCCGACGTGCTCTTCAGCCAGCCGTCGAACAGCTCGATTCTCAACCGCCTCGGCGTACCTATGATCGAACCTCTGACAACATCTCTACCCAATCAACCGACTTGCCTTCTCTCCCTCCGATCCCATTTCCCTACCCTACCCTAACCGGAACTTTTGATTCCTGTCTGCATCTGCCCCCAAAACCGCCGACCTTCCATCGTTCGAGTTGCACTGCATCTTCAAAGCAGCTCCACCAGCTCGCGACAGCGTCAACCCCCGGGTCCCCGTTTGAGCCGCCAACATGGCCTCCGCACTCCCGACCTTCCCCAGACTGGTTTTCACCGTCTTCGAGCCCATCTCGCTGTGCGTACGATCCTTCTCGACAAGTTGAGGCGCCCCATCAGCTGATGTGAATGTCTCAAGCGCCGCCGGCTTCCTTGGAGCCGTCATTGACCCGGATTGGTTCATATCCGAGCAGATTGCTTCGGTCGCGACCACCAGTCCGCCGACCCCGGCCACAGATCACAGCCGCCTCGTCGCCCTACAGCTGGGCAACATCTATCTTCTCATGGCCATGGTCGGCTTGGCTGTCCTCAATTCCACCAGCGAGCTGAAGGTGGTGCGCAGTTATCTCGTCGCTCTGTGGATAGCCGATCTCGGCCACATCTACGTGTGCTATCATGTTCTGGGCCTGCAGAGATTCATCGACGTTGCAAGTTGGAATTCTATGACTTGGGGCAACGTGGGAGTGACGGTAAGACCCTGAATAGCCTCGGCCGGCGAACGTGCAGCGCTAACAAGTGTAGGCATTCCTGTGTCTGACCCGCTCGGCCTATCTCATGGGGTGGTTCGGGGCAGATGTAGAGGACACCAACAGCTCATCAAAGAAGCGGGAATGAGATTCTCGCACACTTTGGGCGTTCGCCGATATTCAAATGATCTGTAAGATGTCTCAGTCTCTGCTGAGAGCTGGTCATCCGGGCTAATGTCCCCTACGGAGGCGACGTTACCTGTCGATCCAGCTGATCCTCTGCCTTTTGTCTAATCCTGATACTCGCCTTTGTGAAACCTTGGGATAGGAATCAGAGATTACTCAGGTGGCGAGAAGGGAAATTCCAGGCTGATTGCTTGCATTGACATCGGCTCTTTTCCAGTTCGCATAGTTCTACCACTACCAATGGCTGTACATCTAGAAGCTGCGAGTGTATCAATCAGAGTTCAAGCCAGGTACGCCGAGTGCTGTGTACCTGGGTAGTACCCTGAGGTGCCATCCAGAACCTACAAGGCACTTGCAGAAGGGACGAGGGTCAATTAGCCCAACTCCGTACCCCGCGCAAGATGAAGTCGATCTTAGCTTTGAGTGCATCAATCCCGATTTTGAAAAGGAAATACAGTCATGAAGTGTGATTCCATCCAATCAATCTTTATCAAGCTCAAAGCAACATGCAAAGGTTGGGGGCAGTGGTTCAACTTTAATGAATGCACCTCACAGCTCCCTCTGAATTAAAAGTGGATACCTAAGGCAGTTGCATCATTCCTGGGCACCACCTCTCCATTGGACGGGCGTTCGTACGCGGGAGGCGCCTTACTCGCCAGGGTTAGGGTTAAGCGAATGAGAGTTTGTTCACACTACACCACCAGCTCTCCACCCCCTCGAATGACGCGTTCTCTTCACGATATTTCCATAACGGGCCGCTGCTCATCATAAAATGGTGCTGACGAGGGCAAATCGCGGCGCCAGCGACCAGCCGGCCGAGTCTGGCCGGTCTGCACGCCTGGCGCGTCGCCGCGGGGGCTCCAACGATAACATGGAACGCGAATTGCCGGCCAGGCCCAGGGCCAAGGGCAAACAAGTCGCGGTGCCGTCGAGCGATCCGGGCGACGACGAAGAAGACGAAGAGGAGGATGAAGGGGCAGGGTCAGAGGAGGAGGAAATCGCCAAGGGCGAATCGATTGCACGGTTCAATGCGCCGAGAGGAAACCTCGTCAAGTCCATCAGCCCGCCGCCTCAGAGCGAAAGTGGTTGGTCACCCTGAAAATCGAGCAAAACATCTGGATGAACGCTGACGATAGGACAGACATTGCTTCAATCATTGGTTCTCAGAGCGTGTCTGGTGTCCAGAGATTCGCCAACCCTTACGGCGCAACAGCACAGTACACACGTCACTCAAGTGTGTTATCCCTGCAATCCGCACTCATCCTTCACAGCGCAGTGCTCATGCAATCCAGGCGTCCCTAGGCCATTCGGCTCGTCAGCGCCTCTATTCGGTCGTGGAGGTATTTCAATTTTTTGCCCTTGTCATGTCAACATGTTGACCAGAAACCGCAGGTCTACCAGGAAGCCCGGTAAGGGAGGATGACGAGGAAGACGCGCCAGACGAAGGTCGCGGGACCCAAGGGAGCAACCACAACATCAGCCGCGACGAGACGGCGGAACTTCGAGAAAATGCCCTCGACCCCCTTTGGAGCACCACGAACGACCTCGCCAAGTACCTCCTCGAGCCAAAGCCGGACAAGAAGACCTGGAACCAGCTGCTTAAGATCCAGCGCCAGAACTGGGCCAGCATGCAGACCCTCTTCACCAACTGGGACAACGAGTTCCTCATCGACCTACCCGACGTCCTGTCCGCATTGCCCGAGAAGCTCCAGTCGCGCGGACGGGTCATCCTTGCCGCGACGAACGCGACTTCCCTCCAGAATGAGCTCATCAAGACCGTCCAGGGCACCGGCGACCTGCTCGACATCTGCGCCCGCGTCTTCGAACGGCTTGATCAGGACTTTCCCGCCCCCTTCCTCATCTCCATCCCCGACGATCCGTATGAGCTCATCACCAACGAAGTGATCGAGCTGACTCTCGACATCCGTGTCCAGAAGTTCATCGCCCAGCTGAGAGACCTCACCGATCACCCCGTCAGCCCCGCCAACATTGCATCTGACCTCTTCTGCGCGGTCGACGAAGGCGTGGACGGCGAGGAAGCGCTCCGTCACGGGCCATACCAACCCGTCTGCGGCGGCGTCGAGTCCCCCCTGGTATCACAGCGCGCTAGAAGCATCGCGCAGCTGATCGAGGAGAAGACGGTTGTGGAGGCAATCCACATGCTGGAGGACGCGTTCCCTTTCATGACCGAGGACGGGACCGGCCTCTCCGTCGACCTGATGCAATGGACCGCCGACATCATCGGACAGGCACAGGATTTCCTGCGGGAGCCGGCGATCGGGTCAACTATCAGATCCTCTTCTCCTTCCGAATCCCTCGCCTCATCCTCCCAGCAGGAATTTGTCCGCAAGGACGTGTATGTCCCTCCCTCCCTTCCATTGAGTATCCCACCAGCTAACATTCAAAAGTCACGAGAACATCATGTCGAAAACAGTCGTCCAGCATTTGGCCATGCTCCGCCGCCAAGCACCCCAATCCACCGCGTCAACGTCAGCCCCTCAACCTCCTCCGTCCCGCCAACCACCCGCATCCAGCCCCGACGATCTATCCGCAGATGGAGACGACATCCTCGCCATAGCCCGGGGCAAGCCGCCCCCCTCTTCCGCCGCCGCCGCCGGACCAAGCACCTCGGCCACGCGGTCCAGCGGCTTCACCCCCGTGAACGGCACCAAACGCCCGTCCGCAACCCAAGACCCCGAAGACCCCTTCGAGAACGACACCCGCTCTCCAGACCCCTCCCGCAGAGCCCAGCTCGACCTCGACAGACAAAACATGCCCCCGCCAGCCTCCCGTCCCCAGAAACGCCAGCGCCTCCCTTCCCACCCGCAACCGCAGCCCTCATCCTCCGCCTCCTCCTCCCGTCCAACTCCCTCCCCCAGCACCAACCCAGCAGCCGCCCCTCCCTCCCCGAACGGAAGCACCAGCAGCGGCGCCCCTCCCCCGTCCTCTGCGGCCTCCACCTCCCTCCTCAGCGGTGAGATGTCCTTCTCCCAGATCCGCGAATCGAACCGCCTGCCGCCCTCCCGCGCCGCCGGCGCCCCGCAGCGCCAGCCCTGGTCCGACACCGACACCCGCCGCCTCATCCGCCTCATCGAGGTGCACGAGTGCAAATGGGCCGTCATCGCCAGGCGCCAGGACCCCGACTACCGCCGCGGCAGGCAGCCCGACCCCGGCCCCGAGGACACGGAGGACTGCGTCTTCGAGATCCGGCGCGACCAGCAGGCCATCCGCGACAAGGCGAGGAACCTCAAGGTCGACCTGCTAAAGTACGTTACTTCAGCCCCTCCCTTGCCTTACACCATAGAAAGAAAGCATACTAATACGGCAGAAACACAACAGGGCCGACTTCGCATTATACCCGGGCTTCAACAGCATCGCCCTCGGCAAAAAGGAGCGGGCCGCGCTCATTGCGCGCGGCAAGAACCCTGACCGGCGGGAGGAGGACACCACGCCTGACGGTGTGGTTCACAACACGACATTTATTCCTGACGAGTAGCGTAGTCGGTGTTGTATGTGCGCATGCATTGGTGATTGGATCATGTCAGCAGGGCTGGAACAGTGTCAAAACTACCAAAATATGCATCATGTTTGTTTTTTTCAGTCGAGTGTATTGATGGCGTTGAGGTGAGTGGTGGTATTGGATCATCAGGCGTGTGTCGCGCACAAACAATACACTTCATCACTTGTTCACGAGGCTGCCATATTGTGACAAATAAAAAATTCCGTGAATAGAAATCCGGTCCCTATCAAGACTGCCCTAAGAATATCAACCGACCTCTCTAGGGTGAACGGGGCCCATCACGTCTGTGTCTCGCCGTCCCGGTCATCGCAGGCATTTGCTCCATCTCCACACCACAAAAAACCAATCTGACTGATTACAACCACCACCACCTTGGTTCAGTCTACTACCCCTTCACCGGTCTTGAAAGTCGTAAAAGAAGCGAAGTCGAAAGAAAAGTTGGGTAGAAACTAGACATCATCGCACGCCTTTAGGGCGGCGGCGTAAAGGTATTTTTCGGTGCCAAACGTACAAAAAACCGGATCTCGTTCCTCTATGTGGTGCAGCAACAAAAGCCCAAGAGATGACCGTTTCCCATACCAAAGACCAGAGAGCTAACAGGTAGCGCGCTTGTACGTTGATTTGGCTGAACGGAATCGCAGTGAAAGGAGTCGGTGGATATCGAGGTGGTGTCGTCATGTGAGTCCAGGGCTGGAATGCCGTCGTGATGCCATAGTTTCGGCGGCCTTCCAACCAGAGAAGTTCGTAAGAGTATGTGACAGAGGAAAGACAGGACAAAGGGGGTATGCTGCGCGGTGCTCTCAAATCTCAACAAGTGTAGAAAATATGTGGTCCCAGCCATGAGCAGCTGGAATACTGAAGTAAAGGGTATCGGAAGTTGAAGTGGCGTAGCGGATTTTACGTTGCTCTTGTAAAGCAGTCTATCGTCGACGAGAGTTGGGGCTGTTCTTGAGTCGAGATGTACGCCAACCCTCGTACCATTGCTCCCTGCTGGCCTCACGGAGCTCGGCTCTCCATTCACTGAAGACGGCATCCTTGAGTCTCGTAAAGTCGCAGTGCTCCTCATTGTAGGGGTCCGCAAAGCCCCAGGGGAATTGACGCCCCATAACCTCGGGCTCGTATAAGTCGGGGCTGATGATGGAAAGAGGGAGGAAAGGAATCTCGTCCTCCTTCGAATCTTGCTTCGCCTTGTGCTGGCGGATAGACGATCCCGACAGTCGTTTTGATGAGGGAGAAGACGGTGCCTCGCCATCACCGCCCTGGATCGGAAGGTCCTCGTCGCCGTTGTTGCTGTGCTCGTAGCCATCCTCGCCCTCATCTTCCTCGTCAATCTTAGTAGAGTCGTCATCCTCATCCAGGCCAAGGGGTTCGAGGGGGTCCATTCCAGCCTTCTTGATCGTGTCCCAGACCGTCTTCTTGAGGACATTCATGTGCTTGGTAGTAATGGTATCGGCCTTGGAAATGACGGGAATGACAGTCGTCTTGCCCTGGAGGGTGCGGAGAACTTGGAGGTCGAGGTCCTCATCCAGGCCACCGGTGATGTTCGCCGGCGGTGCGTACTTGCCGTTGTGGCCATTAGGCACAGTCTTCACAGCAGCAAGATTGCGGTCCAGACGAGCTGGGTCGAGAACCATGAAGACAGCATGAATGTGGGTATCCTGTACACCAGGCGATCGAATGACCTTCATCTCCTCGGTAAAAGTCTCTTCGAACTTGCTCTCCAGGAATGCTGACATCTCTCTAAGCTGAAGGTCAACCACATTCTTTTCGAGACCTTCCGAGTCCCAGATTGTCAGGCCAACACGTTCGCCGTCGATTTCACTCTCAAGGTAGTGGGGGATGTAATTGCCCGAAGCGGCAGCCCTGGGAGTCGAGTCTTCCTCGGTCTCGGTTCGACGGGATCGTTTCTTGGGCGGCAGAGCCAGAGCAGTCTTCAGGAACTCAAGGAATGAAGTCTTGCCAGCGCCGCGAGTGCCAATGACGAGAATGCTAGAAGATATGGTTAGCTTCCGGTGTCTTCAGATCGAGGGAGGATTGTCTCAGATCGGGTGCGGCTTACTTGAAGGGTGTGGGATCCTTTCTTCTCCGAACCCTTCTAGGGCTGTTGACAGTGCTGACGGCGCTGCTGGCGTAACTGTAGCGACCGCGGTGCGTCATACTCTCGGTACGAGCGTAAGGATCGTAGGCGGGGTTGCTCGTGGGCACAGGTGGTACGGGAGGAACATACCCTCCCGCGCTGAAGCCGGGATCCATCGAAGGACGAGTGGAATAGGCGGTGCCAATGGTATGGTCAGACATGATCGAGGCTTCGTCGGCACGAAGGTCTGAGGGGATGGAGTTGGAGAGCTGGTCATTGCCCTTGTAGAACTCGGGCAGCTTGGGTGGGATTTTGGAGATGGCAGCTTGACGCTGGCGTTCGAGTTCGCGTTCCTGCTGCTCCCTGAGGGCTTGGGCCTTCTTACCGCCCTTCCCCAGGTCGCCGGACTTGGAGCGTCTGAGAAGCATACCGAGACTACTGCGACGGGGCTGTTGGCTCATTGGTATCCAGGGTGCTCAGCATAAAATATTTGTTTCAGCGTCGGGAGCCGCAAACGGAGTGGGCGACTGGCATGCGACTAACACTACCAGCAGCACTTTTTGTCGCGCTTGATCGTTCGATTGCGTGGAGGCGGCGAATGTGGACCGCTCGTACCAACGGGCGTTGAAAAGCGCCGAACTTCGAGTCGTGTGATTTGGTGAATAGCAATATGTCGCCGAGGAGAAAATCCAGGTCGACGTCAGTCACCAAACTCGTGGTTTGGTTTCGTTGGGGGTTTGTAGGTGAAAGGGGGAGGCAATCGGGGCTCCCCTGGAAAGGGTGGAAAGGGGTCAATGACCGAAGAGAATGGGACGATGTGTGGGAAAAGAGCTGATGAAATCAGGTTAGCTACCAATACCCGGATAGAAGGCAATTGCTTGACGCCCAAACACTGCGAACGCTCTTCCTCGACCAACCGCAGACAGCAGCGCAGCGGGAACAGCAGCAGCGTGTCGAGTCGAGCAAGTGTCTCGCCGGGCGGCGCCTGCGAAAAGGTGACAGGGAAATGGCAGCCGGCAGGAGTTTGGGAGACAGCGCGAAAGCAATGCCTCTGCCAATGCTCTGGTCGGGTCAGGTCAGACCAGAGACAGAAACAGAGACACAGGCGGGAACCAATGCCCGGGCCGGCTCCGAGAAGGAATTCTGGGGACGTATGCGTTCCCCAGTGGTGGTCCTGCCGTGGTTGGCCGCGATTGACGGCAGAGGTCGAGGCAGGAGATCTGCCGCCTGCAGAGGGGTCGCGGGACGCAGGTCGCAAGTCGCAAGGAGGGGCGGACAAGCAGCGAATAGGGGCAGGAAGCGGGAAGTGATGACGATGGGATGGGAATGGCGCCGTTATAAGGACTTACCAGTAGGATGCCGAGCTTCAGAGCTGGAGCTTAGGCAGTTTGAAAGCAAATGGTGCTATTCTCGTGGAATTGGCGGCGGCAGAAGAAGCAAGCGTCGGCTCCTGCGATTAAGGTGGATGTGCAATGCTGCAATGGCAATGGCGGGGAGCGCGGTGCGGTGCAGTGCAGAGACAGACGACTGGCCAAACGTCGGACGGATGGTCGAACGGAGCGAGGGTTTCCAGTCGCGCGGCGATGGCAGGAGATCGGACGAAGAGGCGTGGCCGCGCGTGGAGAGGAGGGTCGGAGTCCGTGACCCGCGTGTGTGAGTCTGGTCTGCGGTCTACTGAGCAGACAGACAGGACGAATGGAACGAGGGGGCCGCAGGATTCTGAGACCTGGCCGAGAGCTTCCAATTCCAAGAGACCAAAAAAAGGGTCGAAAGTGAGAGAGATCCGTGGAGGGGATGAGGCGTAATTAAGAGATGGGAATTGCGAAGAACGTGGACCCGGCGGGACGAGACGAGAAGCAGGCGAGGCGGGTCGAATGCAGCTGGTGAGGTCGTGGTATCCGTACGTAGGGTGAAGGCAGGCCAGGTACCAAGGTGCGGTAAGGTAAGGTACGGATGGGTAGGTATGGACCTTACGTATGGATGAGGCGGGCACACAAGTGCAAGCGTTAGCGAGAGTTAAGGCAGGTTGGTAGCGTGTTGGTAGGCCCGGTTCGAGAGTACCTAGGGCAAGCCACTCCAGTCCAGTCCAGTGCAGGTACAGGTGTGCAGGGAGTAAAGGTCGGCGTGGGTTGTGAAATGTGAAGAGCGAGCGAGCAGCCTGGAGCAAGAATGGCGTCGAGAAGAGCAAGCAGGCGCAGTGTCTAAAGTGAGTGAGTGAGAGTGAGGGTGAGGGTGAGGGCGGGATGGCCAGTGCAGATGCGCGCAGATGGAGAATTGGGGGGTGTTCGAGGAGAGACTGACTGAGAGAGCAAGTGGAGGGACCCGCGACGAGACGAGTGTAATTATGCCAGTGGAGGAGCAGGTGCGATGGATGGGGACAGGATGAGGTCAGTGCAGGGCGCTGCGCGATGCGATTGCAGACCAATGAAATTGCCGACTTGGGTTTGCGCCGACAGCAGCAGCAATGCGATGCTTCCCGCTCTGTTTTTGAGAGATGTCAAGGTGTGCACTGAGTTGGAACGGGTGTAAAGTGAATCAAGGCAACAGGCGCGAAAAGAGCAACAGGAGCAAGACGGACGACACAAGCAGAGTCAGGCAGACAGACAGAGAACCACCGCGAGTGCGACGCAACAGACGAGAACAGGACCTGCCCGTTCCCAGAAGACGAAGCTCCTGCTCCATCCAGCATGTCAGGCGTCCCCCATCGTCCCTCCTCCTCCCTCCTCGTCCCCTTCACCCCATGCTGGATCCAATGTCCCGTCCAATTTGAGAATCGAGAGGGGCTTCGCCGATGGACGATGGACACTGGACAGCACCAACCGGCCACGCAGGGTGCGCACTGAAGTCCTGCCATTCTTGTCATGTGATTGGTTGGCCGACGGGTAGCGCAACACCCTGC